CTTCCCTTGCCCACCCCCCAATATTCTTAAGAGGGTCTCTTCTCCAGTCTTCAGAGAGTAGCTGGAAGTGGGGAGGCAGAAAAAGGTCCTCGTTCCTTCCACTCTGCAGTTTTAATCTGAAATCTTAGGCGTAGTACTGCACCCAGAGCTCAGAAACTGCTTGCGCTAATGAAATTCCCTGTCGCAAAATGCACCTAGAACAATGGGAGTTTCAAACACTGGTCCTTGCAGTCCAGATGTCCAGCTCCTTGGGACATCCCCTCTCCTCTTGGTTCTGCAAGTCTCCATAGTCTCTTCCTTCATGTTTAATCTGACCGGTGCTGCTGGGCAAGATTGTTCATAGAGATCTGGAGTAGAAGGAGAACTCCAGCTCTTGCTGTTTTTTTTGTCTCTGTGTTTATGTGCGGCTTGGCTTCCATTGGCAGCTGGATGTGGGAGAGCGGAGTACAGTTAAATCAAAACCAGAGCCATGGCAGTGGTAGCAGGCAGCCCCATCTGGCAGCCAGGGATCAGGAGAGCACAGCACCCGGGGAAGAGTTCAGGCAAGCTCTCTCTAGCCAGGCAAGGGAGCTCTTCCTGGGCTATAAGAGGAGCAGGAGGCAGCAAACAGCCCTCCCAAGTTGGAGGCAGGAATGTTTCCACAAAGCATGTTGTTGTACCTGACTTGTGTAGCTCATCCAGCAGGCTCTTCATAAGTTCAGGAGCAGAACACATGCTGTGCATGCAGCAGGCCCCCTTTACATCCCCCCTTCTAGTCCTACAAGTAGGGCCAGAAAGAATTCTTGTCTAAGGAGAGATGCTGGAAAGATCCTACCAGTCAGAGCTGCTGGCACTGTGCTAGACGGGCGAATAGTCTGTATTTAGCATCTTCATCTGCCCCGCTCAGCAATCTGGGGGAGGAGCTCTAGCATCGCTTGCAGTCCCCCACCCCTTGGTGCTGCCACCTTCAGTGGTACCCCCAGAAGTTTTGCTGCCCCGGTCAAACATTTCTTTCTGTCTGGAAAACTTGCTTTCAAGATGTCCACCTACCTTCCATCTCAAGAAGTACATGTTTTGCCAATGAGGCATTCCAAAGCTGTTTTCTCTTCCCGCCCCATGTGGTCCAGTTCCCGCAATAGTTTTCAGGATTTTCAAAATTACTTGCAAGGAAGTCAGATTTTAGTGCAAAGGGTTCAGGCAGTTTACAGCAGAAGGGGAAGAGGCTCAGCTGGATGCGATGCAGATACTTGATGTCAATTTGGTGTATTCCCAGCAGTGGCTTGGAGAGGGGCGTGCATGATAGATGTGAGAAAAAAGGTGTCGCCAGGGCACGTGCTTTGACCTCCTTCTCCTTCACAAAAAACACTTTGGTGCCACTTTGGGTGCCCTGTGTCTGAGAGAGCTGAATTTCTTCAAAGTAGCCCCTTGATCAGAACTGGCAGGACTCCTGGATGCCTTGAAGAACTGCCTGGTTAGAGCTGTTGCTGTTTGCAATCCTGTCGTGGGTAAGAGCACTGCAGTGGGAGGTGTTCTGCCATGTCTGAAAGGGGTGGGCTTCCCCTCTCCAGCTCTGTTTTGAGAAAGTGGTGGAGGAGGCTACTGTGTTTTCCACAACTGCAGGACTGGGAGAAACCTGGAGCCTTTCCTGGAGTTCTTAGAGACAGAGAATGTGGCACTTGCCTGCTTTGCATGTATTAGAGGGTGCTCCAGAAAAACAACAGTGCCTCAAACTGAGAGAGGCGTTTACTTGCTGTTTGGTGCCAACAGCGGTGGTTCATGCCAACCCCGTCAAAGGTGGGTATTCCTTGCAGTTCAGAGAGGAAACACATTTTAATATGGCTTAAGTTGGGCAGAGGGTACAGTATTATCATTCTTTATTTGGTTTATTTCTATGTAAGTAAGTGGAGAGGAGAGATCAAGCATTAAATAAGACCATTATTATCAGTAGTAGTCATCATAAGACCATTCCTGAATAAGCCTTCCCTGGACCTGGAAGATCTGAATAATTTTTGCCAAGTATCAAATGTCCCTATTTTAGGCAAGGTTCTTGAGAAGGTGGTGGCCAAACAGATTCAGGTGCTCTTGGAAGAGACAGGTTTTCTGGATCCATTTCAATTTGGACTGAAGCCTGATTTTAGTACCGAAACTGCCTTAGTTACCCTGTATAATGACCTGTGTTGGGAACAAGGCAGGGGAATTGTGACTATGTTGATCCTCATTGATCCCTTGGCGACTTTCAATATCATCAGCAATGGTATTCTTCTGAGGTGACTCTCTGAGTTGGGTATTGGGGGCACTGCATTGTGGAGGTTCCACTCCTCTTTGGATGGATAGTTCCAGAAGGTGGTTCTTGGGGAGCATTGCTCAACTCTTGTGTTTTATCTAGTATGGGGTCCTGCATGAATCACAGAGTCAGTTCTGTTTCCCATGCACTTTAATATCTAGATGAAACAGCTGAGTGGGTTCATACTGATTTCTGGAGTGTGTTGTTATCAGTATGCTGGTGACGCAGTTCTAGCCCTCCTTTTCATCTTATGCAGGTGAGGAAGGCAGTGTTCTAAATCAGTGCTTGGTTGCAATAATGGACTGGACGAGAGCCAATAAAACTAAAGCTTAATCCAGACAAGACTGAAATGTTGGTAGGTGGTTCCTCTGACCTGCTGAGTGGCGTTTGGCCTGTTCTAGGTGGGGATTACGCTCCCTCCGAAACAGCGGGTTCATAGTTTGGGCGTTCCTCCAAGACTCATTGCTGTCACTTCAATTAAGTCCTACCTGTACAAGGATAACTTGGCTACAACAATCTTTTCTCTGATAATGTTGAGGTTAGATTACTGCAGAGCAATTTATATGGGGCTGCCTTTTAAAAACTTTGGAAGCATCAATTAGTGCAGAATGTGGTTGCCCAGCTGTTGACAGCTTCAAGAGAAACAGATCATATAACACCAGTTCTGTTCCAACAACACTGGTTGCCTGTATGCTTCCAAGCCCAATTCAAAGTGCTGGTTTTGACCTTTAGAGCTCTGGATCTCCAATATGACTCTACCAGGGCCTTTAGAGCTTTGTTTGAGGCCCTTCTGCAGATTCCGGCTCTGAGGGTGGTGACAGGGGAAGAGGGCTTTTCAGTTGTGGCTCCCATCTATGGAATGTGATCCCCAGCAAGGCCTGCCTGATGCCTTCATTGACTGATACCAGGAGAAAGCCTATGTTTCCCCCCAGCTTTTTGACAGATGAAAGATGACGCTTTTGTCGTTAGTGTGCTGCCAAAGCTTCCTGCAGCTCTTAAGGGGGTTACTTTTTGTTTTAGTTCCATGTTATAGTATATTAATTTGTGCTTTTAACAGTGTTGTAAGTTACTTGGAGACCTTCAGATAACAAGCAAGTAGCAAATCTGATTATTAATAGTGTTAATACTACTAGTGCTACTAGCTGTGGAAAAATAAAGATTTCAAAATCTGTCTAAGAGTGGAGAGGGAGTTCTGGTACTGTTATTTCTATTTTAAAGACAAACTTCAGCATGAACAATAAAAAAACCCATCCTTCACAGTAAAAAAAGGAGGGGTCATCATTTTTTCCTCTCATCTGCTTTTTCAATCAATTAACATAGGTTTGGTTATTTCATTTATTCCTTCTTCCCGCATAGAACACACTCCATTTCATAGACACAATTCGTACCACACAGAGAGCCCATGCAGAAGATCAATTTACGTTGATTCATAACAATAAGGGTCAATAAATTTGGGGTAAAATATTAGGGTTGCCAGCTTTTCTGTCTCAGCAGACATTAACCAGTAATAAAGCACCTTTTGGATTCTTTAGACTAAAATGCTAATAAAGGCACTGTGGGCATATTGGGCCTTTTTTTGGTCATGTGGAATTGTGGTAACTGTAGTGGGCAAAAACTCTCTGTGGAAACAACCGGTTCTCCAAATAAAGGCAGAAAATGGCACCTCCAGCCGCCTTTGGGCAATTCAGTCCAAGCTGTTGCTCCCCAAAGACCTGGGAAGGCACAGCACCCACAGTATGCAAAGCTATGGACATGAAATGCACTGCTCTCCATACTGTTTCTGATTGGCACTTCTGCTGGTCCTGCTTCTACATCTGAGGACACATGTTCGGCCTAGAATCTTTAAAGAAAATTATATGTTAAGCCCGGGTTTTGATGTGGCAGTGCAGCACTGCATAAGCACAAAGTTGCCACAAAGTGCAAGGCGGGGGCGGGGCGGGGCGGGAGGCGAATCCGTTTTGGCATCTTTCCCTTTCTCCCTGCCGTCTCCCATGATAGGATTTGCAGAAGAAGAAATTATAGGCAGTTCTTGTTAAGAGCTAAGTTTGTTGCTGAGTTGCCTTTAGGCCTCTCGCAGGCCTGTCAGTTTCCAAACTGGGGCAGGAGAATGTGGACAGCTGCATTTCTTCCTTGCAACACTGAAATATTTTTTCCTCATTCATGACCCGGCAGAAACAGCTGGGTCTCTGCTGTTGGTCATTGGACCTGGCAGCCGCCTGGCGGCATCTCTGCCTCTCCAGCATAGGAGACAAGAGACTGCTGGGACAGCAGATGCAGTGGAGGTGATATTTTCACCCTTGCCAAGATTTTAGGGCTGGGCTGAGCCGGGCGGGGGGGTTGCCCACTTCCCCTCCTAAGCACAACACCCCTTAACAATGTAAACACCAGCACCAGATGGTAACTATGGTTAAAGTAAACCAGGTTCCCACCAGGGTTTGCTAAGCAGCTGAGGCCTCTTTTAAGTTCAGCTTCAACAATCAGTCATTTAAAAATGGCCGCCTTTAAGAGTTTTCTTCTCAAAGAGAGGCAACAATCCTCAGCCAGAGATGGCTGCTCACATTTGCGAATGATGCTGAAAATGTAGAAGGAGATGACGGTTGGTCTTTTCACAGGAGCCCTCTGGATTCAAGATTGGCTGTTTGTTGTGTCCTGTTTGTGGGGCTGGGGTAGCTCAGGCAGTGAACACAGAGCAGTCACCTGTTTGCTCAACTCTCCCCCCCCCCCTTCTCTGTTCCAGAGCTCCTACCCCATCTGGGAAGATTTCAACTCCAAGGCAACTAAACTCCACTCCCAACTGCGGTGAGTTTCTCGACAGAGCTGGCACAGCAACAACACAGGTGCCATTTGTCCCCCAGCCTGGTCTTGTCGTCACGTGTGTCATGAAAAGAGACTTGTGATTTCTTCTTCTATGCTCTCTGCTTCCTCTCCCCACACACTCCTTTCTTTAGAAAACAAACGATGTGTCCCCAGCTGGTTCAGGTTCTTTTGAAACCCCACAAGCAGAGAGTAGACCAAGCTTCACCAACCAGCTGCTTTGGACTACAACTCCCATCAGACCCAAAATCACCTAGTCATGCTAGTTGTAGTTGATGGGATTTGTAGTCCAAAACAGCTGGAGGGTGCCAGGTGATGGGGTAGATTTTGCATGGCAGATTACGGTTTCATCAGGCGCTCTTGGCCAAACAGCAGTGCAAGCTGGGCAAATATCCCCAAGTGGTGTATATTTTCCAGCTGGCAGCTACTCTAGGAGTTGAATGACACTGGCCAGAGGAATGAGAGCTGATGGGTGGGGGGTTTTTTTGGATTATTGTAATCTGCTGCAAGCTATCTTGGATATCATTAGATCCAAAAGCTGGGTGGAGGTCTTCTCTCAGATGAAATGCAGTCTAAGTCTATTTTTTAAAAACCACCCTGCCTCATTTCTATGTGGGGAAACAAAACCTGTGCAGATCTGTGTCAGTTTTTCGGAGTGTGTCATAGGGCTCAATCCACATACAGTGAAATGGGCCCAGGAAATTCTGCTGCCGCCCCTGGAGGCTGTGACTACCACACAATGAGCTGGGAATGCCCCGCTTCAAAGCAAAAATGAAATAACTTATGGCTTTAAGTTAAGTTTTAGAAGCAATGGGGAGGGCAGAATCCTAGTAGCTTTGCTGCCAGTAATGAGAGGTCCCACCCATACGGCTGCTCAGAAACAGCATAGTTGGTCCCTGAGTTCCTTTCACCTGCCATTTCTTACCTGGATGTCCCTCTCCACAAGAAGGTACCATTTCTTAGCATGATCTGGTGTGCATGTTCTGATCCTCCTTTCCATCCCCTTCCAGCCATCACAGAAAAGCATGTGCCAAAGCCATAGCCTCCCCCATGTCAGCTGCTTTCTCTCAGGCAAGTGTGCCTGCTCTTTTCTCTGGAACTGCCATTCTTCCTTCTCTCCCTTTTGATAGATCATCACTGTGATCTTCTTGTTAGTTCTTTGTATCCTAGGGGTTTTTATTTTCTCTTAATATTTTTCAGACCTTGTGGCTCTTTTTCTTTTTGTAACAAAACAAAATTGAAGTACCAGCCCATCTACAGGCAAAGTGCTATTGAGTCTTTTAATGGCTCCTTTGCCTTTTTAATTAAACAGTTCCTGTTTGCAGATTTAACTCATAGCTTTGTGATTAGCACTGGTTCAAGATTAGTGGTGAGTAGCTTTTAATATCCTCCTGAATAGCCTTTCTTAATTGCCTTAATATTGGTTGCGGTTCCCATGGGGAGGGGAAAGCTCCATTTATCATTTTTCTTTTTTTAAAAAAATATTTTTTAAGAATAGCAGAATACATTTTTGGCTATATAAAAATGAGGGTGTGTGTGTGTGGAGACACACTTACACAAGGAAATCTGTAATCCAAGCCCCCACCCCATGGGAACAGAAACTGACCCTAGGCCGGCAATTAACCAAGTCCATTCAAGGGGCAATTAATAGGCTGTTCATAATTGATGCCAGGTAACATAAAATGGGATCATTCTATAAGGAGTAAACTTTTAATTAAAGCTTCTGAAAACCTTTCATGAACAGGATTTTCTTGTGAGTTAATGTTATAGAAGGATCTTGAGAATAATAGATAATACAATGCTATTTTAAGGCTTTGTGTGGAACCTCTATTTTCAATTTTATTTTATTTTTTAGTTAATTGAACAAAGTGAGTGCCTCAGCAGCACTAAAGGGTTCAAGTGAAGAATATAGCATTTTCCTGGTATTCTTTAGGGGAAAGCACCTTTCCAAACACTACTTTGTGGCCCAACCCAGTATTTGAGTAGAGCCTTCCTCAGTTTTGCCTATTTGCCTATATTCAGCTAGCCTGCTAAAAGCATCTGTGGCAGTTGGTTTTTTTAACAGTTACCTTGGGCATAATTTTTTCTAATGCCTTCTTTTACACACGCACACTGTTATATTTTATGAGTGTGCTAGTTGCAATGAGTGTATGCCAACTGTAAGTACAATAGCAGGCAACCTTGGCAGTTTCAAAGTTTTTAATCTTGTTTACTAATCAAATGTAAAATAAACATGATAAATGAGAATATTATGTAGGGCATCAGAAAAAAATCCTGTACAAATCACTCTGATCACAGTTCAAAAATTTATAGAAAACACTGTTTTCTTATGCTAGTGTTATATCACACCTGAGTTTCTTGACATTTTGCTGGAGGAAGTATAGAGTATAGTCTGGTGTTATCCTGGGATTTTAAAAAACTAAAAACTAGAGACTGTGCCCCTGTTTCCTCCATTTGCAACACCCCATTTAGCCCAAGGTAGGGAACCATTTTGGCTCTGCAAGCCATATCCTTATCAGGACCTGCCTTGTGGTCCAAAATTGACAGGTGGGCAAGTCCATCCACCTGCCAGTCAAGTGATGTCACAAATGGCATCATGCTTCTAAGCCTGGACATTAAATTGCCTCTCAGGCAGCTGCATGCTTCTAAAAAGAAGGTTTTTGCCTTCCTTTTAGAAATATTGCTCCTTGTGAGGTACTTTGGACTTCAAGACTCCAAAGCCCAGCAAAATGGAGCAGGGAGCTCTCTCATGAACCCAGGTCAAGCTAACTTGATCTCCATCAGCTGATGGGTGGAGAGGTCAGGGGCAGTTTGGCGCATCTGTTTGGCCTGTTCCCAGAAGGAATGGCCAAATGGAGCTCTTTGTAAGCAATTGAAATAAAATTGGCAGACAGGGCTATCACCTTTGGTCCACCCCACCCCCCAAAAGTCCTCCTCCCTTTCTCAGGAGGCTCTTCCTCAGCTGTGCACCCTTTCTCCTCTGCCTCATCTCCTCCTTCAGTCCCTTTCCCTCCTCCTTTGCTTCAGCTTAAACCTCCTGCCCTCCAGTTTCCACCTTCCTCTCCTCCTAATTGTCATCACGCTGTAGTTTGCAGGGCTAGTGCCATCTGTCAGTGGCCTTGTGAATTACACCATGACAACAGTCTTGTATGTGTTTTACAGAGAAAAGAGAATTCAGGGGCTGGTGTGTGAAATTAATTGCAGTGCTGATGCAATCAGCTAAGAGCTGGTAGGTTTCAGTAATGAGTGGAAAGGTGTCATCTGGATGCCAAGCTAGGTGTCTCTGCATCCTATCCTTGTACCTTTGGCCCTTATGTACGTAAATGGAGGATTTTACATTCATTTCTATTAATTTATATGGTTGGTTTCAGCCCAGCTTTCCAGCCTGTCAAGGCAGTTTTAACCCTCGATTTTGTCTTCTGCAGTGTTAGCTACCCCTCAGTTTTGCATTATCTGCAGTTTTGATAAGCACTCTCTATGTTCTCCTCCAAGTCTTTTATAAAACAGCAGAGGGCCTAAGACAGAGCTCTGGGGCACCCTGTGAGACCTCCCTTCCATGTTAATGCTGAGCCCTTGTGAGCACTTCTTGGGTATCTATGGTGGATAATAATGAGCTAGGGGTCCATTGTGTCACACCTTTGCAACAGAGAGAGTATAGGTTGCCTTGGTTGAGGTGGCACAAGGAACTGAAGGATTCTTTGGTTAATAATAAAATAATAATAATAAACCATCTCCAAGATTGTCACCTCTTACTCTCTGATATGCTATAATATTGAAGTAAAAAATGAGGACATTTTTGGGAGCAAGATAATCCAGTGAAAGTAAGAAAATGTACTGTGCCATGGAGATATGTTGTCTTGCTCAGAAGCCTTGGGGATATTTTCACAGGCGCACCTTCTGTGACGGTTCCAGTGCTTCCGGGTACTTGCCACCTGGTCCAGCCATTAATCTGGAAACACAGGCCTCTAAAGGAATGTGTATAGTTTGAGAAAGGCGTAAGTTCTCCAGATACTAAAGAGTACATTATATAAAGTATTGCCAGAATCAGATATTTGCCCTTATCCCTAGCAAGGTAAATGGGAGCAAGATCTACAGATAAATATTTCTTTAGACAGCTGGAAATGCATATGGAACTCTGCAACTCAAATGAATATGAGCACAAACCTTAAGAAGTTTTACAAGTGATTGTGCAGATGATGTTTCTCTCCACAGAGACTGAGGATGCTTCCGGACAGCAGCTCTTAAGCTGCAAACAAGTCCTGCATATTCAATTTTTCTGTGTGCACTTTTGGCACACTACCTTCCACGCAATCCCATCCCCCCCCCATCTTAATAGTCACTGATATTCTGCTGCTTGACATCCACACTAGTGGATGGATTTTGCCTTAAAATAAAGGAATTTTAGGAACGATGATACAGAAGCCATGACAGGCCATAAACTCCCACTACATCCGTTAGTCGTTCTTTTTGATCATACAGAAATAATACTCTCTAAGGAAGATCAGGAAATGGTTATTTATCTTTTAATGGCTGCTGGAATATGTATTTCACGTATAACAGGAAATAGGAGGTTACAACAAGCTTTCATTGGCTGTGAAAATGTCTGGGATTTTAGTATGATGAAGCTTACTAATTTTACTCAGACAAGAAGCAGAGTAAATTGGAAAGTTACTCAGTTGAGAGTTGAGTAAGATTTTTTGGAATTGGAAAGTATAGGAACATATATAACCCCAATGAGTTATTATGCACAATTTAGCAGCACAGAAGTTAATTAATGAAAGATAATCAATTCAATCTGTAAATTCTTTGTATTGATGACACAATATGGACAAGGCATCCTTTTGTGCTGGTGGGGGGAGGGGAGCAAGCAAGGGGTGCTAATGGACTTTCTCCATTGCCCTTTGCCCAATAAAAATCCCTGCCTTCCCCCAAACCATTAGTCCCATCCAGCATGGCTAGTGGCCAAGGATGATAAGTTGTAGTCCCAACAATACAGGGCACCACTTAAGCTACTTGTGACTTACAGAGTCACATGATCAGGGTATTAGCTAAGCCCCGCCCCCTCCTTTTGTCCCACTACTCCAGCTGAAGTTGGAGCCCTGCCTCCCTGTTGCAGTGAAATAAAAGAAGTCCACACACGAGCATCATAGTGCCTAGTGTGGCTTTGATTCATTACCAGCTCCTTCCAGCAGCAAAGAAGGCAAGCCCTGGCTCTCCTAAATCCCAGGTAAATGTGCCACAATTGTGATATGTGAAGTCTCTCTTTGAGCCATGTTGCTGCTTCCTATGCAGCAACACAGAAGCAAAGGGGCTGGTTTTGAGAGTGGCAAGGCAGTTGCAGCATCCAGAGGGAAGCTGCAGAGCCCCCTCCCCACATATCACGGCCCCAGGATCCCGATGCAGTTGAGATCCCAAGAGGTTGAAAGTTGCCTCGACTGCCTTGCCTGTGAGCAGCTTCCAATCAAAGCTGAGTTTCCTCCCCAGAGTTCCCAAAAAGAGCCTTGCTCTCCCCCCCCCAAGACTTGTTCCCAGGGTCACCCCCTTGCTTTGCTTTTCCCCAAGAGTTTTTGGAATCCTCCCCCTTTCTGCTTGCCAGCCACCTCCTCTGGCATATCAAAGGCTTCTATGAAGGGGCCCTTTCAGCCCGTCCACCCTGGCTTTGCCGTCGCCGGATATGCCTTGTGCGGCTGCCCTATTAATAGCCCCCCTGGCTTCGCTGGTGTTTCTCAGCCCTCCGTGGAGCTGAAAGAGCCTCTTGTGTTCCGCTCAGCATCTCCTCAGCTGTTTGTGCACTGTGTTCCCCTTCCACTCTCCCAAAGCGCCTTTTGTGCTCATTGCCTATCTGGAGAGAGTGCTCTCTATTTCCTCCGCTTTCTCCGCACACAGAGTAACTCCACATCGGCTCAGAGCTAGTTTGGGGAGGGAGAGATTGAAGCTCTGGGCTCTGCCTAACAAGGAGTGTTGGCCAACCCATAAGTAGAAGGGGAGGCTGGACAAACTTGGCGCTTAAAGCCTTTCTTTGGGAAGAGCCTCCTCTGTTTTAATTAATTAATTAATTGATTGATTGGATTTATATCCCTCCTTTCCTCTCCAAGAAACCCAGGGCAGCAAACACATGTATCATTTAAAATAAAGAAACAAAACAAAAGAATCGGTTTAAAACATTGTAAAAACAACTACAATTAAAAACATCTAAAATCAGTTGCAGTTAAATTATAAAAAAAATTCTAGAAGCAGCTAAAAACATTATTCCATCCAATGATCTTAGAGTTACTTGAAACAGTATTTTGTCAGCTACTCCAGAGCCAGGGAACCACCACTGAAAAGGCCCCGTCACTATCCCAGTTACTTGGCATGCAAACTGTTTGAGGCTCAATTTCTACTGGCAGCTCTAGGTAGGGCTGGGAATGGTCTGTGTCTGAAACCCTGGAAAGCCTTGGCTGCCAGACAGTGTTCATAATGCTGCACCAGATAGACCTAGCAGTCTGATTCGGTATTGAGGCAGCTTCCTATGTTGCTCAGACTGGGGAGAGCAGGGAGTGCAAAGTCCTTGCAGCAGCTTGGGCCAGCCATGAACAGCCCACCCGGTTTCCAAGTGCTGCTGCTAAACACAGAGGCCAGATGATGTGTAAAGAAGAGGTTGGCAGACTGCAGGGCAAGGAGCCAGCCCTGAGGTGGCCAAAGGCAGCAGGACGTCAGAGAGAGAAACTCAGGGAAAGGGAGGCCTCAGGGGGAAAGACAAGAATAAGGAGGGAAGGAAGGAAGCTGAAACAAAAACAAGGCAGGCAAAATAGTTCCAAGAAAACTGGAAAACTGAGGAAACATTGGTGCTGGCATAGAGTCTATTTGAGCTCATTTCTCTCATTCTTGAGAGAAATGCTGCCCATCCCCCACAAAAAGAAAATTGTAGGTTTTCCATCTACCCTCTCAGTTTCCTGGGGGCAAGGCACCTGAGAGTGATTGCTGTGATTGGTTCCTTAAGCTCTACCTCAGACAGGTGTGTGGTGTTTGGCTTGGCCTAGAAGTTTAGGGTAAGGATCCGTCTCATGCAGGCTTTTTAACATCAGTGCACATGGATGTGTTATGGGACTCTCTTCATGCCTCTGAGCCGTTTGGCACATGGAATCCCCAGGTTGCTAGTCTTGGCCTTGCAGCCAGCCTGTGTCCACAGAGCCCAGAGTATGCGCTGAAACACACAATGTGCTCCTTTGCAAGGTGGGTACGTGCAAGGGGGGGTGCGATGTCGGTAGAAGGTCAGCTGTGGTCAGCCCGTAGTCTTTCTGGACCGCTCAGGAACCCTGACGAGCTTCAGAGTCCTCCAGACCACAGGCTGACAGCGTGGGCTTCAAATCACTTGTTAATAGGGTAACTGAGGAGAGTTGTGCAAGAGGCACTGGATGTCCTCAAGATTTTAGAAGCAAACAAGATTCAGTTTTCTCAGAATTATTAGCCCAGTTGTACTTTTGACCTCTGATTACCTGAGTCTTGGCAGCATTGCAGGTTTGTGCCTAAGTGCTAATAATGCAGGTCTGGCCGTGAAGGGATGAGGTGAGGCCTACTCACTTGTTGCACCCACCCAGCCCTTTGAGATGGCAAAATGGCTTGTGCTGTTCCTGCGTGAAGACCACCAACCCTCTGATCTCTCTCTTTCTGTCCTTATGTTTTAGGACTACTGTCCTGGCTGCAGTGGCCTTCCTGGATGCCTTCCAGAAAGTGGCAGACATGGCCACCAACACACGAGGTACGTTGTGGGAGCTTTTTGGACTAAAATCTAGCTGACTGCAAAACCAGCCATGTCGCACAGCTAGTGGCAGAGAGCAGAACAATGCCTGTGGAAAAAACTCACCACTAAACTGGCAGGCCCATGGCCCCTTTCTGTTTACTCAGCATCACTTACAGTGCTGCAGTTACCCCACAACATACTTTTAATCCCTCTTTGTACTCACACTCAATCTAGCCCTGTGCTTGGTTTCCACCTGCAGCAGCCAAACAGGTGCCCCTGGGAAACATTCAAGAGGGACACGTTCAAACATCAGAGATGGAGCAAGAATTGTTGTGTGTGTTTCTTTCTTTCTGTTTCTGTGACATTCCCATGGGTGACCCTACTGTGGTACTAAGTTTAGTGCCTATTGCCACATCTTGTGGCAGTGAGTTCCAAAGGCTTTAAATTTTTTAGCAATAAACATGTTTTCCCGAGGAAAAATATATTAGAGGATTTGTTATGTCGCCTCCCCACTTCTGAGGAAGCATTTGAGGCAGGTCACATCGGTAATAAACAATAGTAATAAAACAGCCAAACGAGAGGGAGGTGGCAGCAGCAGATAAAATATGTGTTGCGTTCTGAACCAAGTTCCAGTCAGCATCTGGGAAACCCTGAGCTTGTGGTGCTTAGAGAGAGAGATTAATTTCATGGTGGGGTCTTACGTGGTCATTGGCAATCCCCCTGCTGATCTCTGCTAATCCAGACATGCTTGTGGGATCACCATGAGGGGAAGAGCAATCATCCTGCTTTTCTAGCAATGCTCATTCGAAGGCCCTGTGATAAATAGGGCCCTCTTTTAAGTGGCACTTCCTTCATTTCTGTGTGGGTGCTACAGTTGCAGGGGGAAATGGGCTTCTGGAGGCAGCGAGGCAGGAGCCCTTAAAAGTTACCTATAAACGAGTTCCACTGACATCAGGCAGGCGCCATCAGTGCACCTTTTGGTTTCATTTTTGTTCAGGCAAGTGACAGTAATTCCAGACATGTAGAAGCTGTCATGTGTTTTAATCTGGTTTAGTTTATTGTTGATATTTATTATTTTTGAATGTTTTAAATATTTGCTTTTACGTGTTGTTGTTTTTACTGATCATTTTATTATGTTTCTAAACTGCTTTGAGATTTTATCAAGCAGTATAGAAATATTGTGAAAGAAAGAAGAGTTTCAGAGTGTGCCTCTTTTCCCTCCGTGTAGGGGTGTAGCAGGGCGAAGTGACCTATTCTGGGCACCTTGTGGCATGTAGATGGCAGAGGTCTGCACCTGAGGACCAGTCTTGCTTGTGGCCCCTCAGATTGTCCTTGGATATGGGCACCACCCAAGCACAAATCAGCCAGGAAGCTCACGAGATGGTCTTGATCAAGCCCTAACCTTGAGCTGACCTGCATAACCCATTTTCACTGCCCTGAACTTCTTCAAAAAAGAGCAGAGGGAAAACACAGCTTTTTAAAAAAGTAATCTCCTCTGAGCCTTAAAAAGACCAGGTGTAACCATGCCTCCTTGTGTACACATGTAAAGGCCTACCCCTTCTCAGAATTGGCATTGGGATATATATATTCTTGCATATATATATATATATATATATATATTCTCGCCCTTCACCCCTAAGGTCCAGGGTAGATTACAATTGCCACAGTAAAAACTGGATTATCTAAAGAAGGAGAATCAGCAGGAAGCCAGAGTTGGAAGGAATTGACTGTCCAGGTTAGTTTGTTGTTTGACAACAATTGACAGAATAATGTATGTGGGCAGCTTTTGTGTTGAGCCATCAGTTACTGGGATAAATCTCTGAAAACGAGCAGAGAATTGGGTAGGATGGAGCAGGCGATAAAGGAAAGCTGAGGAGGCTGGTACAAAATAAGGAGATGGAGGGAGGTCTGATGTATTCTGCAGAGATATAGGGAGCACTGAATGGAGCTTGGAAGGGAAGCAAAATGTAAATAACACCTTTCACCTGAAGCAGAATGAAAAAACTGGTTTAGAATGTGAGTTAATTCCAGAATAAGGCCTGAAGACACAAGAACTCACCACTTTGCTATAGCTAAGCAACCCTGGGCCTGGTCTGACCCCTGGATGGGAAACCACCTGGGAACCACAGGAATGCTCCCTTGGATTCTAAGGCCACAGAAAGGTGGGATAGAAATGTAAGAAATAAAATGTAAAACAAAAAAACCTACAAAGCATTGAAAGAACCAGATGGGTCATTGGCCTGACCCAGCAGGCTCTTTATACATTCTTATGAACCTAGTTATTTCCTTTTTTCAGGAAAAGCTTGGTGTGGGAAGGGTTCTTCCTTTGAACGTGACTCTTTGTATGAAGGCAGAAGGGCTATGGAGCAGTTTCCTGACATTCTATCATGGCTGGTTCACTCCGGCTTTTAGACAAGAAGCCACAGCTTGTTATTTATAAACATCTAGGGAAGGGCTGTGATGAGGAAACAAAGGTAGACCTCCATATTTACTTGCACAGGCTTTCTGCACCTACTACTCAAACCCATGTAGAGATTTGCGTTTGCTGCTGAGATGATGTGGCGATGCCAGCGACCCATGCCAGGCCAGGAGTGTGTATGCCTAGCAAACACATGCTCATCTGTTTGGTTATAAATCATGGGAGGGAGTTTCCCCTTTAACACAAAATGGACCACATGGCATGTCGGGAAAAGTCCTAAAGAAGTAGGGAAAGGGAGCAAGGTTCAAACCCACCTACCCTTGTGTGCTTACTTTTAGTTTTAGAAGTAACCCCCCTCTTCCAAACCAGTGGGCAACACATGTTTAATGAACAGGTCCATGCCTGGCTTAGCCCAGCCTGCCACCTCCCCCAAGTCCACAGAATACCCTGTTCTTTAGGTCTAGGGAATTAAGGGAAGCCTTAGTGGACAGATGTGCAGGGTGATTACTAAAGGAGGGAGCCACAGGTAATAGAAAATACAGCCATGGCTGTGATTTGTAAAGGAGGTCAGGGAGGGGAAAGGGAGTCCTTTAGGAGGAGGGGCTTCTGGGCTGCCTGGTAGCTTGAAGTGTGTGGCCCTTTGGAGAATTCCACAACAGGGGAGACTGAGACATAGATCATGCAAATGGAAAATGAGGTGGTAAAACTTTTCATCTGCGCCATTTCAGATCACAAGTGGGAAACAGTTGCATGCTTCTCAATAGTAGTAGTAGTAATTATAATTATAGTTTATATTCCGTCATCTGAGCAGCTTCCAGCAAATTAAATATTAGCATGTTATTAGCATATGAGCATATAAAACTATTCCTTACCCCACCCCCACCCCCAGCTTTCTATATGTGAGTCTCAGGCTATGAATGAGAGTTGCTTTGCTCTGTAATTCTTTTTGACATCCTTGTTGCCTGCCTAGGCTTTGGGCTGCACTGCTGACTCAGACCATAGTGAATGTCCCATCTGATGCATCTGGATCTATCTTGGGAACATGGCTTCTATGCTTGAACCACATGCATAGGACATCACCCAGTTCCATACTCTTAATTTTTCCTGCAGACTAGAACTGCCAATTCACCCATAGCTGTTTACTGAAAGAATGACTGAATCCAATTTTTCACCATCCAGGTATTTTGTGTGGGTGGGCAGTTTCTGCCTCTGGAGGTTAGATGTCTTGGTTATGGAATGAAACTAAAAGGAACTGAATTATATAGAGTGGGACATGATAGGTAATCACCCAGAGCCTGTTGGCAGCTAGATATCATCCTTCTCTTTGGGTCTCCTTCTGTCCAGCTGTTCAGCAGAGAGCAGCTGAGAGGGAAGACTTTGATGATGTGCAAAGTGTGCAATTGTGGTTCTTTCTTCTGTAGGAAGATCAAAGCGGAGGCAGGGGTGTCTCAGGTGGTAGACTTATGTTCCGTACAAATATGCAAAAAGTCATTCATGCATTTCTTTAATTGCGTGCATGCAGTTTTGAAGTTGCCATTGCAATTTGAAGTTTGAGACTTTGAATAGTTGTAAGGCAGACTTGCAGCTCAGCTGTTATTTGCATTCTTCTGCTGCTATGATTGAATTTATTTTGCCTTTTGCGCATTCAGGACAGAAAGGGACATTGAGAGCTTTTTTACGAAGTAAAGAAAACATCTAGGGAGAAAACAGAAGGTGAAACAATTTTAAATACACCCCTTTGCTTGTAGCGTTTGCTCTTTAACTCACAATGCCTTGCCCTGCTCACTGTGTTAGGCCACTCGTGAAAGCACTTTCATGGCGACAGCTTTTTTGATCCTAAAGGCGGCAGATATGTTCAGGATTGAATGCCTGGTGCATGTGCTTGTACCACTTGGCTGTCCTTAATCAAGGCTGGCTTCATTGCCCCAAGTTTCCTGGAGTAAACAAGCAGCTAGTCCATGGAAAGGAAGCCATTGTGCCCACAAGCCTGCATCATCTTGGTATTCTAAAGCTGTCTAATGCTTCGACGTGGCAGGAAATTTGCCAAGGAAATTTACATGCAAAGTTAAAATGGTCAACAATGCAATAAAGCAGACTGTGGCTCAAGAGTGACTTTTACTAGCACTGTGGGCTTGTCTGGAAAAATAATAATTTTGCCACATTTCCTCATGACTTAGTAATATCTAGGGCAATGTTATATGTGGGGCTGCCAATAAAAAGTGTCGAGAAACTTCAGTGCAGTAGATTCAAAGTGTGGTAGACACATATGGACTAGGATCTGCTGTGCTGATAATATTTGACCAGTGGTTGAAAGATGTTCACTGGCTTCTCCAGTTCTCTACCAGGCTCAGCTCATGCTGTTTGTTTGTTTTCTACCTATAATGCCCCAAGTGGCTTGGAATCATGGCTTTTGAAGGGCTGTCTATCCTAGCCTTCCCCAACTTGGTGCCCTCTAACATATTTGGAGACAGGGCTGGACAACTCCCATATGAACTTGCCTGTATATGGAGTTGCTAAGCTTTCGGTAACACACACACACTCCACTCCACTCCACTCCACTCCCATTGCAGGGTAGCGATAGGACCTTTGCTGCAGTGGGGGATCATGCACTGCCCAGTTTTTTTCTCCTTCAGGGCCAAGTGAAAGCTGCCCTATTATTCTAGTGGGACACCATTAAGGACAGGTTTTTGGTTTTAGCTGGTTATTAGTGCTGGTTATGTTTTGCTTTTAGTTGTGTTTGTGGACTCATTTGCTTATGACTGTGTTTTATGGCTTTTATAATGTCAACCACTCTGGGGTGCACAAATGAAGGAAATGAAGCTATTTGCTTGTTGCATTTTAGCCTGTTTTTTAGTTTGTATTTTGTCCTCGGTGCTATTTCAACAGATGTGTATAAGCTCCCTTGGAAAGGCAAGGTATAAATAATTGCAAACATAAGGTGTCCTGGAGCTGGAAGTGATCACAATATTATTCAGCTCACAATTCAAAGGAAGGCGAAAACACTGAAGTGCAAAACAATCACAGGCAGGGGAGGCACCTTCCCACCAAGGGATGTGGGAAGGGAGCAGGCAGTTCTTCAGGTACCAGCTTCTAAGCAGAGCAAGACTTTACATGTCAGCACCAGTGCACTAAATGGTCTCAGAAACACACCACAGCTACTGAAGCTCCAAGCTTCCAGCCCCAGTAAGTAGCTGAATTTGAGCTCAGTAATTGAAGGAGGGAAAAGAATCAACTTGGCCCAGCCTTCCCATCCTGACACTGACAACTTTTGAATGCATTGGACTCCCCACCCCCACCCCATTTTAAATTTTCTTGTCTGTCTTTCCTCTTTAATGTTTCGCTGTTGTCCAAGAAGGTTGATGGGTGGGTGAGTAGGAGGTGCTACGTCATTTTAACTTTTGTGTTTATGGCAACAAAATTCCCCAGGCGGTCTCTGAAAAGAGACAGAAGGACCTCTAGGACTGCACGGTTTTATCCACTGAGTTGTTAGTGGGGTGGTGGAAGAGGACAAGGGAAACTGGGGGCTTGCTCTGATTGCACATGTGTGGACATTGCTCGGGGGGGAGGGGTGTTGCTAGTGAAGAAGCCAAGTGCGATTCAAAATGTGAATCACAAGAGCTCAACGTTTGCAGAAAATGCTGGGAGATTTTTTTTTCTGAAAGAGATACTAAGGATGTATTTTGTGTCAGGTGATTACAGCCATAGGGTTGGGGGCTGGGGGTAAAATGTCTTGGCCAAGAGGGAGCAACTCTAAGAGGAAGCAGCACTCCTGGTCAGAACCGGGAAAGGGGGAACAGGAGGAAATGATTTCTCCCTGTCAATGGCTGTGATCTGCAGCAGAAGCCCCGTTCAGCAAGCTAAGGAAACAAGCAAAGGAAGTGAGTCATCCTCCTCTGTCTATTGCTGCAGCTGCACAGCGGTGGCTCTGGAGCCAGGATGACCCCCCACCCCCAGTAAGAAGGGGTGTGTGAAGTGCACCACTGTTGTGGAGGTAGTGCTGGTGTCCTTCCATCCTCCATGGTTGGGAGAAAATTCCAAAAAGCAACAGAGGGTCAATCACAACAATGTCACCTTCTGATGCTCCAACACTTAAGAGTGTTGCTCTGGAAGGTCAGGCTCAATAGACTGCAGGACCAGAACCATAAGCACAAGCAGACTTGCGGAGAATTAGCTGGCCTCATCTGAGGTCAAGAAGGAAATGGTCTTGGGCTCTTGGAATGTACGAGAGAGATGACCAAAGCGCAGTGATCATGCTTAGCATTGAGCAAGGCCACTTGGCAAATCATTGCCCAGTAATCCAAGACTAGTAAAAGGAACTGGGTCACTGGTAGGACACCTGGCCCTCACAGGTACCCTACCTTTAAGAGCACCTTTTTGATCAAAAGTTTAAAATTGATTAATCTCTGATTAAAAACTTTGCAGCTCATCCCATTCCTCCCCCTCCCCCCCGCAGTGATAGCTGACAGGTCAGGTCAACTCATTGACTGAATGAGCATCAGGTGCCTCACCCAGAGCTGGATGAAAGATGTCTTTCCAAGCAGTGTGGTGGCTGCCCTGCTTTAAAGGGTTAGAGAATTCATGTCAAGTGCTCTGGGGCAGCCTCCAAAGATCCCTTCCTGAAGGCTGTGTCTTGGAGACTCCCTGCAACTTTTGCCACTTCCTGGCCAGCTCAGGCTGGCCAGCAGAAGGTGAACTGTTTTGCAATGCCTTATATTCTGCTTTGAAGAGGGGCAAAATTCTCTCTGCAGCTTGCACAGTGCTGCATACTGGTGTGCGTGCAGATCCCTCATTAACCTGGATTCATCATGCCGGCTGAGTTGATCATGGTCTGTTGCATCCACTCTTAACTTCCTCCCTCCCAGTACCTTTGAGGGGTGGATCTGCCATTCCCAGGTGACACTGGGTTCCTCTGACGTGTGATTTCTGTGCATTCGTCTTTCCTGGCACAATTGCGTGCCTTTGCCTCATTAATATTTCACAGTCATTCTGCTTCGGTGTTGTGGGAGTACGCAATGTGTTCTTCCTAGGAAGTGCTTAAAAGGCAGGATTGAGAGGAAGACATCCTTCGGGGGCACTTTTTATGTATATCTCAAGGAAAACAGAAGGTAGTCTAGATCCTGGAGCCACCTTTGCCAAGATGGTGCCATTCACGTTTTGGGAAGTAACTCCCAACAGCCCCAGTCAGCACACGTATTGTAGTCCAAAGCATATGGGGAGCAACAGATTGGAGAAGGCTCCTCTAGAGCAGCAATTCTTCTTCTTCTTTGGCAATCACTCGTAGCCAAGTAAGATTGTCTTCCATGACCATGGTCTTAACAGTGAGTCCTTAAGTGTCTGTGGAGGCCAATTCTGGATCCACACGTCCTTCCACAGTGGGGACATAGGTTTCTGGGTGGGAGTTGATCATGGTGAGGATTTGTCAAAGCTGCCTTCCTCTTAGCTCGTTTCTCCCTTTCGTCCTGAGTTCGTGCTTCTTTAAGGTCAATGACACCTTTAGTAGAGGCTGTTCTCCAACTGGAGCACTCACAGCAATTACGGCACGTGTGACCAGGAGCAAGTTGAAATGGAAATGAGCAGAAAGAGACAGAAATCACCTCTGACTGTTAGTTTCTGGTGCTATCAAGGGCATTTAGCTGCGACCCACAGGGTGCCATCTCATCTTGTGTAAAGGCCCCTATAAATGCATGTTCATTTCAATGAGGCTTGCACAAATAACTTCTCATTGGATTGGGCTCCCATGTGAATTAGTGTATGTGGGCATTTTCCTCTCCCTCAAACAGCAGAATGCCCCATAATCCATGCTTTGTGAGGGGTGCAGTTTGATGGGCGGTTCCTATGAAAGACTGTTCCATCCATTCATATCCTCATGTTCAAGGCGCAGAGAGAGAGAAAGAGAGAGGGGGTCAGTGTCAGTGTGGTTATTGCTACCCCCAATGGACAAAATCTGAATTGCTCTGTTCTCCATCAGGCAGGGCTCTAGACTTGGAGCCAATTGTTAGCCTTTGATAGTGATAGCCTTTAACTCAAAGGATATTCTAGAGCTGGGAGGGAAAGGCAGAAAGGAGCAACCAAAATTATCAAAGGGGCTGGACTAATCAACCCCACTCTGTAGAAAGGTTACAACATTACAATGCAGCTCAGACCTCATCATGGTGTATTTATGGGTGAAGTTAGGGGGTGTGCCCCAAATGCATTCCCCTCCACACACCTTCTTAACATCAAAATGCATTTGTTTCCTAATCTCCCAGTTTGGAAGGATCCTTCTGATGCTCTTTAAGTTGCAAACACAGCCTCTAGCTCCACTGTGTAAGAGGAAAAAATCCTCTCTTTTTAATGGAAACTCTTGTGAACATTTTTCTAATTTGTGTAAGATAGGCTATTGCCAAGTGAGTCACTCTAGCATGAATGGAATCCTGGAACAACCTTTGGCAAGGGGAAGAAGTGTTTGTGAGATGAATTGGGTGGGGGGAGTGTTACAAGCCCACTGGAGAGTCCTTTTTCACCTGTGAAATCCTGGAGGGGAAGATGTTGCCCCAAAGTAATGTTTCATAAGAGCTTCTATTATTCTGACTTTTCAGTACCATGTAATGCCTGGAGATAATAGGGGCTTCTGAGGGGACTGGATAGAAACCCAGACCTGGGACAGTGTTCAGGAGATCCATTTTGCCTCAGAGAAGGTGGCGGCAGAGCAGGGATGCCCAGAGAGGAGGAACTGAGTCTCAAGTAGAGGCTGAAGAAACAGCTTGCAGGGTTCTTGTGAGAGTAACATATGATGCCTTTCTGTATGCGCCCTCAGGAGGAAAGTCAGGAGAGAGCCCTGATAGCTCTGCTTTGCTACTTCTGAAACAAGGTGCTCCTTCCTCAGACTCTCAAGACAACTTGGTTTCCCAGCCCATGTGATCTCACTCCCTCACCCAGCCCACATGTCAGGCTTTCCTTCAGCCTGTGGCGACATCTCAATTCCTTGCCTCTCCATTTTCTTTCTCTCCAACTGAACAAGAGAGAAGGAAAGAAAAGAAATTTCGTACTTGAATTTTTCTGCAGTACCTCTTGACAGTTGTCCATTAACATGAGGGCTGGTTTTTCACCTCAGGAGCCACGAGGGACATCGGCTCCGCACTAACCCGGATGTGTATGCGGCACCGCAGTATTGAGACCAAGCTGAGGCAATTTACCAAGTGAGTGCCTTTCGTTAGACTCGCGTGCTTGTCATGTGTGTGGGCCAGCCCCAGGCTCCCTTTCCGAAGAAGAAGAGAAGGGGCTCAGTGGCCTTGAAAACGGGATTGGGGAGGTGCTGAAATAGGCAAGACATGCAGAAGGAGGCTCAGGGTTTTAGAAACTCGAGCCACTTCCATACTCTAGTCCAGAGAATGAGTTATTGAGCCATTTGGATCACCTTGGCACATTTATGGGGATTTCGTTGCAAACCCTTCTCCGCATCCCTTGGCCCTGCTAACCCGCCTCTCTCTGGGTGCCTTCCCCCCTCCTGCAGCGCCCTGATGGAGAGCCTGATTAACCCCCTGCAGGATCGGATAGAGGACTGGAAGAAGACTGCTAACCAGCTTGACAAAGATCACGCAAAAGGTAAAAGGGCAGGAGGCACATTGGCTGCCCCATAGCCTGTGAGGCAGTGTCTGATGCTCAGAGGAAAGCAGTGGCAAGGATGTGACTGTGGGGCTTAGGGTGGGAGGAGAGGAAAGCCAGGAGTTGAGTCTGAGCCCCACAGAGAGCAGTGGCCTCCCTTGTCTGCTCACGCCATGTGGGGGACCTCGGGGTCCACCCGCCAAGCTGTTTGCCTTCTGGTCACTTGGAATCAGGCCTCGTGTCTCCCGATTCCTGTCTCCTTAGAATACAAACGAGCCCGCCATGAGATAAAGAAGAAGTCCTCTGACACACTGAAGCTTCAGAAGAAAGCCCGCAAAGGTAAGATCTGCCAGGGTCTTTCTGGCCAAAGGGCAGCTCAGTTTGGCTAGTGATGTTGGCCTCCAACCCCTGATTGAAGAGGGGGGCTGGATTTGCTGGGCTGCCCTTGGATAAACTAAATTGCTTCTGCCTTAGCAGTGAACATTTCCCTGCACAGGTAATGGCATGGATGGAGCAAGGACCTTGGTTTCATTCTTCAGTTAAATGCATTGCAGTGTAAGATCCTCGTTAAACTAGGGTGGAGGCCTCCTTGCGGCATAATGTCCTGGGGCCCAGAGGCTCTCCAAATCCCTTTGTGGGCTGTTTGCTTTGCACGTGAGACAGAGCTTTGTGTTAGGCAGTGACAGAAAAGGGAATGAAGTCTGGAATTCAGCTTCCTGAATTCCTGAGCTTCCTGTTAAAGCAAGTTTCTGGCCCCTGTGGCTTGACAGTGTGGGTGGGCAATGCTGGCTGAGGCCTCAGAAACCAGAGGAGAGTTGTCGTAGCAGATTCCAAGGGCAGAAGGGAGCTTGCCTGCCTCTGGTTCGCTTGTGTGTCTGAATGGGTCTGGGTGAGAGTGGCAGTTTCTGCAGGGGGCATTGTACAGCCGGTGCTTTAAGTTTCCACACTTTTGGTCTGCCCTCCCATCTTGTGAACACGTGATTGCCAGGGGAGGGTTGCTTTCAGAGCCTTGCTAAGTTCTTATTGCCCTAAAATCAGGCCAGTGTGTTGATCCAGGTTGTTGCTCCTTGAAGTTACCATGTGTGTATGCTGGTGCTGACTGCAAAGGGAGAGGGGGGGCCTCGGGGATAATTGCCTATCAAAGTGCCTCTCACTCCCCTATATGCACACACTCTGTCATGGGAAGAGAACTGCGTTGGTGTTCTCAGTGTGGCGTCTCATACCATTCTCAGTCCTTCTAGGTATTGAGAGGGGTCTTCCTGGCTCCTGCAGCAGACCCTCTGAGGCCCAAACCAGATGTTGCGTGTGCACGTGGCCACCAATGACTCCTTGGGAAGACAAGGTGCAGGGTGCAAATGTCTCTGTGCCTTCCTCCTCCTGTTTGGCTGCTCCATGCAAGGTGGATTGGGGACCTGTGGCATTTGCATTCTGTCTTGGGGAATCCCCACCCCACCCCTGGACCTGCCACTGCCCCCCACCTGGGGGAGGTTATCAGAGTCCTGTGGCTCCCACTTTTGCTCCTTGTGCCAGTGGAGAAGACCTGACCAGACGCAGCTGTCCCCTGCTGTCATTTTATGGCGGGAGGGCAGTTGTGTACCTGGTGATGTGGCTGAGTTGGGCGGTGGTTCTGTGGGGTCCTGTTCCGGGTCAGAAGATGGCTCTATACATCAGCCTGTCTTTCACACATTCTTCTTTCTCTCTTCCTCCCTCTCTCCTTTCTCTTCCCTCCTTTCCACATCCTTCCTGTAGAGCTACTTGGTAAGTCAAACGTTGCCATCTCAGCTTCATCCAGGCATCCCTAACCCTTCCTCCACGCTCTTGGCTTCACTACCTGTAATCCTCTCCCCCCTCCCTCCCTCCACTCTGTTTTGGTTGGGCTTGAAATGAAATGAAACCTCCGGAGGCCATGCTGACGCAAGTGGTGCACTGAGGGTTGGGAGCAGCGTAAGCTGATGGGGCCGACTGAGGCTCGGCTCAGCTTTGCTGGAGGCAGAGAGGAGGTGGTCCTTGCTCTGTGATGAACGCAGGAACCTGAGTTGTAAGGTGCCGACAGGCCACATGGCAAGAACGGAAATACTAAGTTCAAAGTTGCTTCATTATTCTCAGTGAACCTTGCAACGACCCTGTAAGGCAGGGCAGCATCACTGCCCCCCATGTTGCAGGTGGTCAGGCTGAGGCTGAAGAAGAGCAGTTTACCTCAGGCCAAATTGGAGATTGTTCCAAAGCCATCTTATTTTGGCCTGCTGGCAAGCAAGACCCCATGGGAAATGGGTGTGCGCCTCCCCTACTACACCAACCCCCAGACTAGCCCATCCACAAACTAACTAAGCACCTGAGGTGCCAAAATCCCTGGGGCTCTTGCCTCGCCTCTGTTTAGAGTAATCTCTGCCCCCCTACTTATCTGGTGCCTCCCAGATGTTGGTGGAGTACAACTCCTACCCCCAACCCTTGGCCTTGCTGGCTGAGGCTTATGAGACCTTTTAGGTCAAAATACATGGTGTGTGCCAGGTTTATTTATCTATAGTTTGACCATTTCAACCTTGGGCCTTTCTTGGCCTTGGAAAGTCAAGTCCCTACCTTTCAGCCTAAGCTCCCTTACAAGGTTGTTGTGAAGCTGTTTTCTAAAGACAGTGTTCTTTGTGTCTTAAAAGAAGCCTAGCATACATGAATACCCTTAGTTTGATTTGGAAGAGTTGCATTCAGGCCCCACCTTCCTGGGGCTGCAAAAAACTGGGTTATTTTACAGAATGTATTGCAGGCATAGGCAAACTCAGACCACCAGGTGTTTTGGGACTACAACTCCCATCATCCCTAGCTAACAGGACCAGTAGTCAGGGATGATGGGAATTGCAGTCTCAAAACATCTGGAGGGCTGAGTTTGCCTCTGCCTGATGTATTGGGTTCAATCCCAGTTTAAAGGATTGGGTAGCAGAAAGCAATGTGAAGGAGGAAGAAGGGGTCCTACCCTCTCCACCTGCCTGAGACCCCGCAGAGCCACTCCTCTGGGCAGGGGTCTGCCTCAGTGCAAGGCTGCTTCATATGCCCTATTGCCACTTTGAAAAGGGGAAAAACAAAGGGCACATTCAAAGCACATGCACTTTGATTTCATCAGTTGAACACAAAATAGAAAAGCAGCTTGAATTCTCACAGATCCAGACTGGCTCAGTCTCTCACTCTGGGGCCATCGTCTCCAACCTGGTGTTTTGGACCACAACTCCCATCAGCCTCAGCCTTCTCTGGAGGAAATCCTCCTTGGTATTGTCTATGGCAGACATGTCCAAAGTCCATTTCGGGGGCCTAACACGTGGCCCACCGGTTGGTTTAATCCAGTCCCTGTGGCAGTTTATTTCCTGGGGTAAAATCCTAAAAAAAAACCTCAACAACGTCAATCCTAAAAAAAGGTCAACAACATTGGTTGGCCCTTTGGTCAGCCCCCATGGCCCTTCACTTCATCAAATCTGGCCCTCTTTTTAAAAAGTTTGGACACCTCTGGCTTATGGAATTTGTAACCCAAAACAACTGGAGAGCACCGGTTTCAGGGAAGGCTATTCTGGAAGGTGGCTAGGTCTCCTTCAGAGGGAGACCACATTTTCCACCTGCCACAGAGTGCCACTATTTTGTCTGGGCACTTAAGGGCCCCAGGTGCTTTCAGTTAGGGACCAAAGGCCTGGTTAAAATTGATTGGTGCAGGTTGGAATAACCATTCCTTCCCCCTTAGGCCAAAGCAAAGAGGAGGCCTTCTTGTCTTGTGCTGTGAGACACTCACAAGAGCATCCCTATGATCCCTCTTAGTATCCTCACCCTCGTGAACCACAAAGGCATAAGCAACAAGACATAGTCAGTGGGCACTTTTTAAGTTGGCTTTCATTTCAGGCCTTATCAGCATCACCACAGGGCCTCATTATTCCCATCTGGACACTCCTCTTTCTCTGGCTCTGCTGCACCGCTCCAGAATGGCTCTGGGGCAAATGCTGAGATCCACCCACCTTGGGCCCAGATCCGCCCCAGAGAGTGACAGCCTTGAGATTAGGGATGGGGGAAGAGCCACTTTAAAAAGTGGAATTGGACAGGGAATGTACCCTTCAGCAACAGCTCATCAGAAGGGTGGGTTGGTGCCTTGGCTTCCATTTTCAAAAAGCCAGTTCTGGCTTTTCCCAAGCATTATTAAATTCAGCAAGCGTTATATAGGTCTTGCAGGTTCCCCTCAACTTTATAGCTCCTTTTCCCTGGGTCTTTTGGCTGCCAAGCCCAAGCATCAGGATCTCAGCCTTAGCCCTCCAATATCCTGGGGCCCACTGCCTCAACAGCTTGGCTGTTTCTTGACTTTTTCTCGGCAATCAGCCATTCTTCCAGTCTTCCCCGTTCCTCCCCACACTGGTTTTCCACCCGCCTGGCTGCTCAGTCATCTTGCTTTACCTTCTTTGCATGTGGGCTGGTGGTGGTGGGAGGCAACATATCTGAGTGACAGCAGGGCTGCGGTTGCACAAGGGTGGTCTTCATTGCTGTCCATCAAGCCAAGCATTTCATGGTTGGTTCTGCACACATTGTGAATTGCTTGCTGGCACCTCTGTTTTGCATAGCTTGTGATCAATGGGTGGTTGTGAGCATGGACAGCTCCAGGGGAGCCTTGATCCTAAGGGCTCTCTTGGTGTCTGTGCTTCCAACGAGCTTTTGAAGTCCATGTGTCTGTGTCTCCCTTTGTGTGTCCTTGAGTATTTGTATGAGTAGCAATACCCACCCACCCCACCCCAGATTGCTCACAGCGCAGCCTTCCAAGCAACTGAGTCACACAAATTTCAGCACCGCTGTGAAACTAAGGTCTGAACTTGGAATGAATTTGAACTTCTGCTTTTGAATTACAGTGTTGGAATTGTGAATGGGTTTGTGTGGGAAGGAGAGAGTGATGAATCCAGCACAAACTGGGACGGAGGAGGGAAAGGCAAGGTGCATCATGGGAGCAGGGCAGCCCTCTCAATTGACTCTAGGAGTCCCAAGGACCACTGTGCTCTGTATCTGGCTAGTGATACACAGATCCACTGCTGGGCCAACTGCTGGGACTCCTCTTGCCAGTGGGCAATTGGAAAAAGCCTGTGGGGTGAATTCAAAGAAGCAGAAAAGGATGGATCTAGACACACCTGCCCACCTTTGGAGAGTTGAAGAGCCAGAAGCCAACATGGGCCTCTTGTTGTTTGGGCCCAATTTTACTGCTACACCCAGAAAATTAAAATGCTGCATAGCAGGAGAAGGCCTCCCACTGCTTTGATCATGACCCCTTCAGACTTGTGTGGGCCAATGGGGCTTTCTTCTCCCTGCAACCCTATATGCGAAGGACAACCTGCATCTCATGTAACATCTATCTATCGCTAGCAGTACGATGGCTCCTCTCCCAGTCTAGAGAGTCAGGCTAGAGAGTAGAGGCTTGGCAAAGGACTTGTGTGAATCATGGAGATGGAGGGAGTGGTAACAGGAGGGGCAGGAATGGTGGAGCGATTGTGCTTTGCAGAGGTCAGGATGGGCCAGAAAGAAGGTAGGAAAGTGACTTCACAGATTGAGAGCAAGGAGGCTGCTGTTCCAGGTGCTGTAGAATGGCATAGTCAAAGGTGCAAAGGCAGAGTAGGGAGAAGAAGGCAGGGGTAAAGGAGAACTTGCTTCAGACTAAGAGGTCAAAAAGAGAAATATTTCATAGGAAGTGAAGAGGGTGGAGAGCTTGCATCCTTGGTGGGAGCCAACACAGGCACTTAAGGAGAGGAGCAAGGTGCTTCTTGGAGTGGAGATGGGGACAGTTGTGACATCCTCCACTCCCTTTATTGCCTCATACGTCTTCATGAATTGGTAGCAGTTGGGGACTATGGGGTGAAATAAGGCATGGTTCCATCATGACATCTGCAAAGTCAAATGAAGTCAGTTGAGGGAGTAGGCAGGGGAGGGCAGTACAAAGAGATGGGGGGGAGCATTTTTGCAAGCAATATTGAAATAGCATGGTGGGCATTTTCAGTTATGCAGAAGATTTTCCTGAAAAACAATGAAGGTTTTGGCTTAGCTCTGTTTACAAATATAGTTATTATTGATAGATTGAGTTTAAATTACTTGTAAGCTGCTTAATATTTAAGAAAATCCAAAGCTGTATACAAAGTATTCAGTGCACAACATTCAGACTAGAAAAGACATAAATACAGTTTGTTGCTTTCCACAGTGACCAGTGATATGACATATCTGGCCAATATCACTCCTTTCGGGATGCAGACATGGACAGAAATGTCGCCAGGGCTGATGTGGGCCAGGAGCCCAGTGCCTCCTGGAGGGCCAGCTACAGATATTAACAGTGGCCCTCACACTTTTATAGACCTATGCAATATATGCAGTCATGATGCTACTTGTCTGAAATCATCAATTTTATCACATGTGAACATCCATAAAAATTAAGCAAGCATGAAACTGAGCTTCCCTCTGTCATAACAATAGGGACTGAGAGCAACAGAACCAACATCATAGTTCATCAGAATGACAAATCCTGGACAACAGCGTCAAAGACCAGTGTTTACTTATTTAAAAAGTCATTTAGCCTGCTCTTCAGGCAAAAAGGTTTCAAAAATAGCTTGTAGATTGAACAAAAAATAGCCCCTCATAGTGTTTGGCAAACCAACTTGGATGTGTTTCTTCACAACCCTCTGAGTATTTTAAACATCTCTCGTACAGGTCAGAGTACTCACAAAATGGTTGCTTTTGGTTCTTGGGAGCTATTCAGTAAGTCTGGATACGGGTGCATTATGCTATAATCAAACTGGTTTAAACAGAATTTAATTTCGTGTCTGAACAATGGAAGATGAGGAATTGCCATTTATTGAGGACACGACAGGCTCTTTGATAGAAATCTGTGACACCAGGTTGGAGTCTGCTCTATGCCCAGGTAGTGTTTATTCAGCAGAGACCACCAGTCACTGAAGATATCGGGAGACATCACTCGCGCTCGCAGCAGTAAAATCTAGGAAGGTTTGCTTGTTTCTAGACTGGCATTTTCCCTACCTAGAGGACCTCTCTGTGCTCCAGTTTAGGTTACCCAGTTTCACCATAGTCAGGAAATATACAGATGTGAGGCGCCACATCTGTTCAGGGGCTACCTCCAGAAGTAGGCCAGAGCTTTGAGGCTGGACCTGGGGGCTGGTGGGTGAAGAGGAGGTGATGTCTCTGTCTCCCTGTCCTTCTTTCAGGTAAAGGGGACCTGCAGCCTCAACTGGACAATGCACTCCAAGATGTCAATGACATGTACCTTCTTTTGGAAGAAACGGAGAAACAGGCTGTCCGCAAGGCACTCATTGAGGAGCGAGGGCGGTTCTGCACCTTCATCGCTTATTTGCAACCTGTGGTGGTAGGTTCCCCCCACCCCTACCTTACCCAATATTCAGCTGCCCACATTTGTTTCATGGGTTGAGTAAACTGAGAAAACAAGCCCCTTATTTATAGTGTATTTTAATTTGCAAACAAAATTCTGGCAGCCACCCCCACCCCTCCCATAGTGACAGTATACATCTCGGGTATTGGTAGGTACTTAAAATATTTGGTGCACGGGCCCATTGGATAAAAATGTGCGTCAATTTTGTATGTGGTGATTTATGCATATAGATGCAAATTTAGGCAACTTGCAGAGAAAAACAAACTCCGGCTCCTCCTGGACTTACTCTGAGCTATGGGGTGTCAACAGGGTTGGATTGCACCCAACACTGTCTGTCACACACCTGCACACACCTCTGCTCCCACCTGAAGCAATGCTTTAAAAGGTCTTGCCCCGTTCATATGGCTAATCTACATCCTGTCTTTCTCCATTCCTTTCCAAGGCTTATTGTGGATTTAGGTGGGCTTGCCAAGTTAAGGTTAAGGAGACTGTGTGCGCCAACAGTGAATGAGACTTTGGTTGAGCCCTTCCCTTGAGATGCTGTTGATTTATTTATTTATTGCATTTATATCTCGCCTTTCCCTCCCAGGAGCTCAAGGTTGTGTATGTGGTTCTTGATGACTACATATTAGATCAGCCTTTCTCAACCTGATGCCTTCTAGTTATTTTGGACTACAACTCCCATCAGCCCCAGAGGTGGACTGTGCTTGTGGTAGTATCGCCCAGGCTGCACTGCTAAGTTGCCTTTGGCTCTTCATCCATACTTCTATCTCCAAGGCTAGGGAACCATATGGCTGGGCCCTGCCCAGGTTAACCCACGTAACCTTCATCAGATAAAACCAGCACTTGCAAAGGGGTCCATTTGTGATGCAAGGATACTTATCATAGAATTGGAAGGGACCACAAGGGTCATCTAGTCCAGCCCACTGTAATGCAGGAATATTGAGTTGCCCGATTCTCTCCTCTTGTCTTTTTTGCAGAATGGAGAGATCACCATGCTGGGAGAGATCACCCACCTGCAGGGCATCATTGACGACCTGGTGGTCCTGACAGCTGACCCCCACAAATTGCCATCGGCCAGTGAACAGGTGGGAGAGCCAAAAGGATGGAATGCTGGGGAGGTTTTAGAAAAGGATGTGTAGCTATGTGGGGGTTATTTGGATTTATATACCAACTCTGTATGTGAGTCTTCAAGTCAAATTCTCAGAGTGGCTTCCAGTACAAAAGATAAAACATTAACAATCTAAAAGCAACAATAATGAGAACACAGTAGCAGCTTCCCTAAATCAGAACCCTAGAAGGCCCTTGATTAAATTCTCAGTTAATTTATTGCATCATGCAGTTTGGGAAATATGGAACTAGTCCAGCCCAAGCTCCAGCTTTCAGAATTTAATTGTGACAGGTGCCCAGATAGCCCAGCATCAAACTTCTAGCAGTGGCAGAGTCTCTAAGTGAAACCAGGGAGGAGGTAATCCGAAAGGAAGGAATTGGAAAATACTTCCTAGGTTCAAAATAAAATACCTTTATATAGCGGAAACTAATTATTCCTTCACACCCACAGTGATAGATACAGGAGCTTATCCAAACCCAGTAATGACTTATGGGCCTTATGTGCAAACATATGTCTTTTGAGAATTAAACAAAGAAAAGAAGTGCAGGCTTATAAGGTGGAATTGAAGGGGTTAGATGGACCAGTGGTCTCGAGGCAGCTAAAGGTGGTCTTAATGGGGCATTGTCAGAATGTGTGCCTGCCTGTGTGGGATTGTTGAGTGGCCACTGGTGACATGTCCTCCTTTTCTGAGAAAGCAGAGTAACCCCCTGGACTCTGCTCTAATTGGGAGGACAAATGAGACACAATTGGAAGGTTTTGTACGTGTCACGGCGCTACCTTTTAATGCCAAATATTTTGCAGGTGATCAAAGATTTGAAGGGCTCTGATTATAGCTGGTCTTACCAGACCCCGCCGTCCTCTCCCAGCAGCTCTGGGTCCCGCAAATCCAGCATGTGCAGGTAGGTGTGTTTGGCGCAGCTGGAGGAATCTCCCAGCTGAAGGGCATGACTGCCAAGGGGAGCATAGCAGGACCTGCCTTTCTCTAAGTGGGCCTCTCGCCACTCGTATGATCCCACAGAGATAGCGAGTGAAGTGCTTTAATTCTTGAGTGACTCTTTTCCACTCCTTTCTTTTTTTAATAGTGCTTTTTGTGGTATTTTGTTAAAAAAATCCCAAGTTCAAATAACTAATGCAAGCCTCTCCCCATCACTGTGGGAAGAGAAACTAGCAATTCAAAGCTCTGTTGGCCAACAGTCCCCTAGTTTAGATCAACAGGAAGCAATGGAGTCAGTCACCTGAACTTGCAAAGGAGACATGTTTAAAGGCACAGGAGCCCTGAGGTGCTTTAAGCACATGTCGCCTCCTCATGCTGCAACTGTGTCTCGGGCTCCCCCAGGAAACTCTGGCATGCCATGTGGACTAAGAAGTGGGGGAACATGGCACTTCCAGAGCAGTGGGCCTAGTGCAGAAACACCCTGGGATTGTGTGTGTGTATTTGTGTGTGTGATCATTGTCGGGCCCTCAGCACCACTGCTGTCTCCTAGCTGGGAGAGGAGAATGTGTCACTTTCCCCCATATGCTCCTTTCCTGTCTGTAATGCCACTTAATTCCTCACAGTTTGTGTGGATTGGACTGGTGTTTTTTTTTTAATAAATGAAAACAAAACTCTCTCTTCCTTCCTTTGCACCCCCTGCTATTCTCACTCCTACCCCATCAATGCGCTTTGATGATGCGCTTTGTCTCTCCTGCGCGCCTTGTCCTGCCCCCCTCCTGGCCGCCATGCCGTCTCATCCTGCCACCCTTTAGCGGCACTAGCAGTGCTCAGGGTGGCCCCCCGTGGCTCACGGGTTCTCAAACATACTCACCAACTTCCATATGTTGCTACCGCAGCCTGGCACAGCCCGTCAATGCCAACACCCGCCTGTCCAGCGTCTCATCGCATGACTCTGGCTTCATCTCCCAGGACGCCATGTTCTCCAAGCCACCTTCGCCAATGCCCTCGGACCTCACCAGTCAGGTAAGCTCAGCGGGGCAGCCGCCAAAGGCCACAGAATGAAAAGGGGAGGCCCTGGGCAAACATGGCAGCTATCAACACTCTTCTTGCTGTTACTCTGCTGCAGGCAGGCCCAATCCGGTTGTGCATGCACAGCCTCTTAGGGGAAGTCAAGGGTGCTGGTGGCCACAGGACAGGTGACAGACCCCTTGAATGAGCTGCCATCCCCCACCCCCTCCAGTTTAATCAGATTAAACTGGCCTCAGTCCTTCCTTTTTATAAACCAGGCTGGTTGACTATTTAGGTGGGGTAAGTTCCCAGCACTACATGGGCTGTGCAATGGATGGGTGTGCCAGTCCCCATTTTAGCTGGTTCCAGGTGAGATGTTGACAGCCACGTCTCCTTTTTGCTTGGGAAGGGAGTAGGCCCAGAAATCTCTGTGAGGAAAAGAAGCCTGCTTCTCTCCTTGGCTACCCGGTGGTTGTGGAGCCCCAGGAACTAACAGCCTCAGCTCTCCAGGGGTGATGAAGAACTCCTACATAGGTGTCAAGGCCGTTCCAGTGCGAATTAAGAGCCCAGAACATCTGGAGGGCTCCAGACCTGTGAAGGTGGCACTAAAGCATGGATTTCTGAATCCCACAGCCGTGGAGGGTTACAGCCATTCAAAGGTTCTCACGTCCCCATTTCTTTTAAGTGTAAAGAGCCAGCAGCTCTTTCTCTGGGGCTTCTGCAACAGTTGGTCCAGAGGGATTTTATCCAAGACTTGCAGAGCGAAGGTTTATCAAGCTGCCCTGAGCTGAGGGTGGCTCCAAGAAAAGCAAGTTAAGATATTTGTGAATAATGTTGTGTTTTTGTAAAGTGTCTCATGGAGGTGCAAGCAGAATGTCTGGCCTGCGGGCAGGAAGAGGGCAGCTGCCGAGTGCACCTGTGAGGAAGGTGCAGGAAGTTTGGGACGTCCCTCTGGCCTCCTGTGTGCCTTGTTTCCACACCCTGGGCGAGAGGAGGCTTTCCCCTCCTGCCTCTCTGCTTCCTGCAGCTGGTCCTTTCCTGTTGCCCTTGCAGAGGGAGGAGGCCTTCCTTCCTCCCGGCTCCTTCCTCATCGCTTCCCCTGCTGAAGAGTTATTGCAGAGGGCCTGGAAGTGCCTGTGCAAAATCCATGTGAGGCCCCTCATGGGCTTCCTTGTGAGCGTGTGTGGCTCCTCCGGTGCTTGCACTGCCTGCTGTGATCTAACACCTGGCTCTTAAGTGTCAAGGCTGGCTGCCCTGCGCTTGCATCTGCCTCCTCGGGTCTCTCTCTCTCTCTCTCTCTCTCTCTCTCTCTCTCTCTCTGCCTGCTGCTTCCCTCCACCAGCTGCTTAACCAGGTCTCTTCTCTCCCTTCTCTCCCATATGTCTGTTTTGCTCCTGCTGACCTTTGGACTTTGGGCATGGCAGAAGTCCTCCAGCTCCGCATCGTCCGAGGCCTCAGAAACCTGCCAGTCTGTTAGCGAATGCAACTCCCCGACCTCGGTCAGTTCTAGCTCTGCCCCCGGGGCATGGTCAGGCGGCCGGAAGGTGACGCGCAAATCGGCAACATCCTTCCCACCCACCCACCAACCCACCCATCACACACCCAGGATCCAGGGATACGCACCCCACCCAGTGGCTGATGCACTGCAGGGCTTTAGCATGTCACAAACCTTTGGGGAAATGGACACCTCCTCCTGCTCCTCTGGTTGCCGTCTCCCTCTCCTCTTCTTCCTCCATTTCTGTTCCCAGTCCCACCTTGTTGGCTGGCTTTTGGCTCTTGGCTTTTTGATGGTTGTTGTTTTTTTGGTCCTGGCTTGATGATTCCGGTGTGATTCTGGCTTCCTCTGCAGCTCTGCCCAGCCGGTTGCCACGGGCCGCCCCCTTCCCACCCCTTGCAGGTTGGCTGGGTGTGCAGCGGTCATGCGTGTGCTCTGGGTTCTCTTCACCGTGGTTTCTTACTGTGTTTCAGTGGAAACCCCTGAATGTAGCTCATGTGGCCAGGACTGAAGGAAGCTCCAGAAGAAGCCTTAGCCTGGTGTGTATATTGTGGTGTGTCCGTTTCCGAGATCTTGACCAGGGGAGTCAGCTGCTCCAGAGCTGGAACAGGAGCCTTCTGTGGCTCTGTTGGCTCTGGAAACATGTAGCTCCAAGCCTAATCTTCCAGCAGCAGCCTAGGGATTCCCCTCTGGAAAGCAATGGAGGTGATGCTGCAGAGGTCACTCAGGAGCAAGAGCCTCTGCTCTGCACAAGTTCCGTTCTGTTTGGGGGGTTTTTCTGCATCATTTAATATGCTCAGTGGTTGAACCCAGCCAGGCTCCCACCCTAGCATTTTTAGGTGCAGGTAGCAAAGGCTCCCATGTGGCCCCAGATCAAACCCATCAGGCTGTCTGAAGCAGTCGTTCTTTCCTCTTGCACACTGGCATTGTGAGCACATCAAAGTGCTCTGGAAACAGGAAGTGCTGCTTCCTTCTTCCTGAACACAGGAAGCCTGCATCAGGACAGCTTTGGGATGGCAGAATATGAACTATTTCCCCTCAGCTGACCCACCTGCCCACCCCCAAGTCTCTGCGATGTCCCTGTGCTGCCATCTCTCTGAGTTGGGGCAGGAACTGCTTCCCATAAACAAACACCATGTAGGGTTTGGTGTGAGTGGAGTGGAGTGAAGTGGTGTGGGGGGGGGGGGCTGAGAACAGCCCCTGCCTGGAAGTCCTTCCATTCTCAGATCAGCCATGAGCTCACTGAGTGCTTTTAGACAGCAGTCTGCCTTTCAGGACCACTGTATGGATTGTGCAGAACTGAATGTGCTGTGTTTTGAACACTCAGTATTTATATAGCACTTTCTGTAAGAGGGAAGATGCATTCACCTGACTTTTTCCAGAAAATGTGTTTGAGGAGAGTGAGAGAATTGGGATTCCAGTGGGATGGGGGACACATATTGTTGGGGGTATCATGACTGTCAGCTGCTTCAAGCTCTTGGGGAAGCAGCCCACACTTTTAAAAGGAAGCAGGCACCCTCCTGTCCTGGCACCTCCACCTTTCCTGTCTTTGTTGAAACCCTTTTTAAGCCAAGAGGGGATTTCTCCGTCACCAGCCCAACAGAGCAAAATGGTGGCAGAGCCATTTTGTGATTGCCACAACCCCTGCTCTTTGCCCTGGGGTGGCCCTTCTGCCAATTCCTCTCTCCCCACCCCCTTGCCCAATCCCTCTCCATCCAGTCTCATCTCCCATTTCTGCCCTATTCCATACCCACCTGACTTTGCACTGCTGTGCCCGATGTTGGGGCCCCAGCTGTGCCGTCCTACCCATCTCCTCTTGGATTTTGCAGGATTGGTCCAAGGCTAGCCTCTATGAACAGCCGGTGGCAAGCACACTGCAGCGAAGGAAGGACCGCGTAGAGCATCTCCGTGAAGCTGAGCTGGGCTCCACCAGCCTGGTATACCCAGGAATCAGCTTGGAGGAAGGCTCCAGGCCCCGCATGTCCCCGGCCTCCATTGCTGCCAAGGTATAACCAGCTTGTGTCAAAATGGGAGACCGGGGGGACAGGAACTTGGAATAGGTTTGGTACCCAGGTGATGGAGCACTTACTTGTCCCAGACCTTAGCTAGGAGAGAGGCAACTCCCTGGAGGAGAATACCCGGGCCTCCTCTGCATGTCTTGTTCCAGAAGGAGATTTACCCAAATAGCAACTGGCATCTTTGAGCTGAGCGCAGAAGGGAATTTCAGGGCAGCAGAGGAAGTTCTCTCAGAGAAGTGTTTTGCAGTTGATGGGTTTTGCTCATATGCATTGTGAAAAATTGCCACGCCCAGCATGCCAGCAGCTTCCTGTGTAGCCCTTTGCCCTGATGCGGCTTTGGAGCCCTGGAGGAATTGAATGATGCATGTCTGTTGCTTATACTTCCTATGTTTGGTGAGGGACCTGTTTGAGTGACCCTGGCAGACGTGATGCCTACTCTCACCAGCTGCTGTATGTGAGTCACTGGGGAATAGCCATGGGAGGGCTGGCCACTGCCTTTAGGTGCCACTTTCCTCCTCCCACTTCCACCTTGCCTCTGCCCCACAAAGCCCCCTCACTTCAGCCCCCCCCCCCCAGTACACACAAAAGAAATGGGAATTCTTTGCACATCCTGTCTTGAGCAGAGCTACAATGATGAGGGGCTCATGGGGTGCATGTGGAATTGGGGCACGCATGTTAGCCTGGGAGAGATCCAGGCTAACCACCCTCATGGCACAAGCTGCTTGCCTGCTGCAGGTGTTGTGTTCATGGCCAACATAGTTTGGGGAATGAGATAACTTGATCATTCTCCTATCTCCCCATCTCCCCTTGCTTTCCATTAATGTTTTCTGACCTTTGGGTGTAGGTGGTCTGGCTCAGGCACACATATGGTGTCATCTCCTACAGCTCAGGGTGCCATTTGCTTTGAGACCAGCTCATCACACCTCTCACTCCCCACCCCACCCCATTTTGTTTCTTCATCAGCATGGGGAGGAGGTGTCCCCAGCCGCAAGTGACCTGGCCATGGTGCTGACCCGAGGCCTGAGTCTTGAGCACCAGAAGAGTAGCCGGGACTCCCTGCAGTACTCCAGTGGCTACAGCACACAAACCACCACTCCTTCCTGCTCTGAGGACACCATCCCCTCGCAAGGTATCTCTGCCAGTGGGCTTCTTGGCACCCAGGGAAGGGGTGGGGTGGGGTTTTACTTAATGTGGTTGCCCAGTTTAACGATAAATATTTTTAGGGTGGCATACATGATTATTATATTTATCTATATCTTGCCTTCCCCCCCCCCACCCATGGGATTCAAGGCAGCTTACAACTAACATAGACACAGGTTATATATATTAACAGAATCAAAATATATACGTATGAAAGATCTCATATAGTGGAGAGTGTTGTGCATGGGGTGCAGCAGTGGCTGCTTGGCTGTGCTGCACCAGCCAGCTGAGAATGCTGACACCCACCCTGTCCATCTGTCGCCTCCACAGGCTCAGATTACGACTGCTATTCCGTGAACGGCGACATGGAAGGGGAGAGCCAGAGCGAATTCGACAAATCCTCGACTATCCCTCGCAACAGCAACATCGCCCAGAATTACCGGCGCATGATCCAGACCAAGCGGCCTGCTTCTACTGCTGGCCTGCCCACCGGCACTGCCCTGCCCACCGGCGCCACACCAGGGGTGGCCACCATCCGCCGCACACCTTCCACCAAGCCCACGGTACGCCGAACCCTCTCCAACGCCGGCCCCATTCCCATCAGACCCCCCATCGTCCCTGTCAAGACGCCAACAGTGCCTGACTCCCCTGGGTACACCGGCCCCACCCGGGTGGGCAGCGAGGAATGTGTGTTCTACACTGACGATGCCTCACCAAGCGCCATGGACTTTGCCAAAGCCTCGCCCAAGAGGCTGAGCCTGCCAAACACCGCCTGGGGCAGCAATGTGATGGAGATCTCTGTGTACGCCGGGAAGCACCTCTCCACCGAGGAGGAGGAGCAGCAGCTGGCAGCCAACCGGCACAGCCTAGTGGAGAAGATTGGGGAGCTGGTAGCCAGTGCCCATGCCCTTGGCGAGGGCCAGTTTCCCTTCCCCACAGGGGTCTCTGCCCTCGGTCCCGGGGAAGAGACACCCACTCCTCCCCCGGCGGCCTCCAGTGACCCTCCGGCGGAAGACATGCTGGTGGCCATCCGGCGTGGGGTGCGCCTTCGCAGGACCATCACCAATGACAGGTCGGCGCCCCGGTTTTTGTGATGGACTCTTCCCCAGCGCCTGCTCAGTGCCCACCCGGTGGCTGGAGAGTAACCAGAGTCAGGACTAAACCAGGGGAAATGGAAGAGAAGTAAACGAACCACAAAAGGCAAAGCCACTTTATGGAGATCGTGTCAGAGTCTAGATATAAAGGAGACTAATCTATATGCCTTTGCTAACAAACATGCACAGGCACAGCCTGGCACTGAACTGGTTTTGGAGCCTCTTTTATACACATTGTTTTTCCATCTGCTGCCCTGCCCAGGTTTCCTTTCCCCTCCTGCACCTTCCTTCATCCTGGCCTGCAGAGAGACCGGTTTGCTGCTGCTGCCGCCACAAGGAGGGAGGCCATTCCCTTGCTCCATGATTGTCAGGGAGGAGTGAAAACCTGAACTGGATCTAGCAACTACAGTGTTCTTAGTATAAACTACACACATACCCCGACACACTTGCACATGGCAAAGAAATGGAGGCTGCCGTTCCTAGAGAGCACCCACCTCCTCCGGACAAAAAAAATGCACTGTTAGTCCTGTGCTGAATCCTTCCTTCACAGCTCTCTGTCTGTCTGTCTGTCTGTCTTTCCAGTTATTTTCTGTTTGCCATCTGTTTGTATCAGCTACTTCAAGAAAGACTTTACAAGCAGCAGTTATCACCCCCGTGATCAATCCCGAAAGCCTCTCGTGTTCCCAGGTGGATCCCAAATGTGCAGCTGGAGGAGAGGGTGCAAGGCAAGGGGCAGGGAGCGGACAACCTGCAGGCATGTCACCAGGCAGGAGGGCCCAATCCCCCCCAACAAGAGGCTGAGTCACAGCCACAGACTTATTGGCCTCTGTTTCCTCCGTGGCTCTACTGGGAGCAGAGTGGGCAGGTTGGTAATATTCAGGAAGAGGAGTGCACTCTCGTCCCAAGGGGGGTAGGAGCTCTGTAATCTGAGAGGCCGAGGGTTGGGATGCTGTTGACCTGCCCTCAGTGCCACTTCAGGACCGGGTTTGAACCTTTTGGTAAGAGCAGTGGCCATGGTTCTCCCTTGAGGTGGGTGGGAGGGAGCAGAATTGGCAGTGATGGAAAGGTGAAGGTGGACAGCTGTTGCTCTGGAATAGCTGTAGCTAAGTGGATATAGGGGCAAAAGAAGCCTTTTTGTGGATGGTAGTGGAGGACTTTGGTAATTGAGGCCTTAGAGGGTTTTGAAAGCAGGGTGTGTGCAAAGACCAAGGGTGTCTGCTCTTGAATTCTCCTACAACCATCTGGCAAGGCCAAAGGTTGTCAAACTGATGTTCACAGGTTCTGGTGTCACTGGAAAGGCTGTAGCGGAGTGGTAGAGCACCTGCTTGGCATGCAGAAGGTCCCAGGCTCAACTGTTGGCATCTCCAGATAAGAATAGGAAAGATCTTTGTTGTGGGAGGCTGCTGCCAAGCAGTGTTAGGCAAGGCTGAGTTAGGTGGAGTGCTGGGTCTGGGGCAGTGTCCTCTGCCTTTTCCAATGTAAGCCTGTTTTGGCCAGGTATGGGTATGGTTATGACTAAACCTGTGAGTGTGTGGCAGGGTGCCTCTTCTAACAGCATCAAAAGGGCCCCCATTTTGACAATATTGGGTGGATACTTTGAAAAGGGTAAAAAGTATCTGCAGAGAGGGAAATAGCTGAACCAACCCTCTTGGTTGGTTCGTTTACCTTTGGCGATGTTGCTGCTGCCTAGCCAGATCTGATGTACAGTCAACCACATCCCATTCATGGAACAATTCCCAGATTCACCCTGACCTGCTCATGAAATTAAGAGTCCACTGCTGTAATTTAATATTAAAAAAAGTGCCCCAGCAGAAAGTGAAGAAAGAATTGCCACAAGCAGGCTTTAAAAATGGGGACAGAGGGGATTTACAGAAACAGGCCAGCTTCCTTGTTCTGGTTTTGGCCTCCAGATTTATAACCAGATGATTATTCAGCACAGCTTCCTCCTCTGTGCTTGGAGCTGAAGGAGCATGAGTTGGACTGCAGCTCCCAGCCAGAAGCTCCAGCTTGGGCCATGCAGCTGCTGTTAGAATATCCACATTTCTCACTGTTTTAGGCCAGGGATGGAGAACTTTTCACCTTCCAATGTTATTAAGACTCCCATCAATGCTGACCATGGGCTAGGCCAGTTTCTGGGCCTGATGGGAGTTAAGAGTTCAGCAGGCCTGGAGTTTAGGACATGCAAGCCAGGTAGTCAGAAGGAATATAAATACAAATTGTGCCTATCACCTTTTTAAGCTGTTTTGCTTGCTTCCACCTGCCCCCCAAATTTGGAACATACCTGCCTATTCTGCCCCACAGAAACAACTTAAGGGTTTGGATAAATTCATTGAGCTTATTTATATTAGTTATGTAATGCAACTGTTTTAACAACTACTTATACCCAGATCTGGAGAGTGCAAGAGACTTGGATCTACCTTGTGCTCACCCTGATATTGTCCCAGATAGTCTAGAAATCGGCTGTGTTGGCAAATGGAAAGTGATGTTGGGAAAGGGGACAGTCTTGAAAGAAAGAGAAAGTGATGGGGAAAGTCAGTGGCTGGGAATTAAGGTGGTCTAAGGTGAGGGGGAAAGAGGGAGAGGCCTTTCCCTGTGCTTGACTAGGAAGGAATCAGAGAATTGTAGAGTTGGAAGGAACCATGAGGGTCATCTAGTCCAACCCTTTGCAATGCATAAATCTTTTGTCCAACATGGGGCCTGGCCCTGGGTTAAGAGTCTCATGCTTTACAGATCAAGCTTCCTCAACAAATGAGGGTCCATTAAACGGCCCCTGCTGCATTACCTCCACCTTTTGTGTTTGTTGGGCTCAAGAATGAGCATGTCTTGCTTTTCTGTCCTGGGACTGTCGAGTATCCAAGGATCACTGAACAGCACAGATGTAGCACAGATGGGGTGGCTAAAGTGGGGGAGGCAGAGCCCATGCTAGACATTAGGGGGCTTCCTTTGTCTTTGGATTGGCCAGGCATTCGAGTACAGAGCTTACCCATGCAAAGAAAAAAATAAAAGATGGGCTTGTGACAATTATTCCAAGAGAGATGCCACCACGTTTCTCATAGCAGCGGCATGGTGGTCAACAACCCTTTCTAAAGTAGAGAGAGAGCACAGCTGTGGACAGCGTTGAGTGTTGTGTGGTGAGGCACGAGCAAAGCACAGCGGTGGTGAAAACACGAGGTGGCCAAAGCAGCCAACTCAAGGCCCCTTGCAAGGACTGGGGAGCCTAGAAGCCTCTGAGAAAGCACAACTGCACCTGCTCCCTCTTGCTGGATCCTCCCCGTCTCCCCATCCTTAGCCCCTGCAAGGCACAGCAGGGCCTGGTGTTGTCGTTGTTGTACATAGAGCCACAGCAGTCCCCTCCACCCTCCCCACAGCCCAGACGTCTTATGTGCGCTTGTGTGGGTGTCACGTTGTAGCCTCCTTAACTCTTATACTGTCGTAGTAATAACAGTTTAGTTTCTAACCAACCAACCTTCCTGTGGGTGCCCCCCTCCTCCCTGTCATGGCCAGAAATGACAACAGTGACAATGCGTGAGAAATGTTTGCATTTTGCTTTTTATTTTTATTTTTGTACAGAGGAAAAAAACCCTTTAAAATGTCTCTCTCAACTGATGTTAACTATTCTGGTGCTGTTAACTTGTTCTTTTTTCTAATTTATTTTCCCTACCCCCCCCTTTGCTAGCAGCCCTGGCCTTACCCACCCACCCTCTTTCATTCTTAAAGTTAATTATCCTCTCCCTTCTCCCTTCATTTAAAATAGTCACTGCTACAAGTAACGAATGCACTGTGAAGATTCCAGTATTAATAAAAGTTGTACTGTAATTAACGCAAATTGGTTCCTCCCACCCCATCCCACCCATTCTTACTCTCCTACGCACAAAGCAGTTGTTTCTTCAGGCCAGGCACACAACATCCACAGGTGGTTTTCCTACCTGTAACCCTCCTGGAATCACAACACAAATGCTAACACCCAGCCATTCCAATTCTGAATTTATGGTTACAGAAATGGAAAGGTAAGTGTATTTTTAAAAAACAAAGCACCAGCTTCTATAGTTCTGACCTAGTAGGGGTTCTTGGGTCTTAAGGTGTATTTCAGACGAGCATAAGAGCCTGCTGGATTGTAGCAAAGGCCCATCCTGCTCTGGCAGAGACAAACCAGATGCCTGTAGGAAACTCAAAAGAAGAGCACAATAGAAACAACTCATGTGATTCCCAGCAACTGGTATTCAGAAGCACACTGCCTACAACAGTGGAGGTAGCAATCAATAGCTGCGTCTCTCTGTATCTTCTCAAATGGAAAGCAATAAGCATGTGGTGTTGTTTTTTTAGCCTTCTGGGTCCTTTCTTTTTCTAATGCTGTTGCTCTAAAGCCCCAGCCCCTGGACTAGGAGAAAGGAGCTGGGCGTTGCTGATTTCAGTGCCAGCCAGTGCATCAATCCCCAACCCTCTTCTCACAACTATTTGCATAATTCCAACACCTTGTAGCAAGAAACCAGAATTTCCATGCCCATAGAATCTAAAGAGCTGCATAGTATCCAAGTGTGCCTGCTTGTGTATGTGGAGAAGTAACAGGGGTGAAAGTCTGAGGGGTATTATTTCTGTAGCTTCCACTATAGCGGCATAGAAGATTCCCCACAGCAAGCTTTACCACAGTCTTTGTCACTGACAGCTGCCCTTCACATCAATCCCCACCCCTAATCACTGAACCATTTCAAGGCTGGGCTGTGTTAGGCTTCTCCACCAGCCCCTACCTTAGTGAGGCAGCAGGGCAGCAGCAGTCCTCCAAGGCTACACTCTGCTCCACTCTGTCTAAGAGGGCAAGACTCTTCCAAACCAGACACAGATTGCTCCCTTTTCCGCAATCCCTCACTGGCTGCTAGCTCCCTTCTGATGGGCTCTCCTTTTCTTGGAGACAGAGAAGGTCCAGTGTGGCAGTTTGACACAGCATGTCAGAGCCTACCCAAAGCCAAAAGATAGAGATTTTCAACTGGCAAGAGAATTTGCTTAGTTCTACTTCTGAAATGGATAATCTCCAATCCAGAACTCCCACATCCATACATGGAAAGAGAAGTAGCACTTTAAAGTAATTGTTCAGTGAAGACATTTGAAACAAAAGCAACCTGAAGCACCAGGAAACTCTTGAAAGAGGCCCAGAAAGCCTGGCCCAATTTCTAGATCTGAAATCACCTGGCTTTGGGCTTAAATAAAATACTGCTCATAAGTTCTCTGTAGCCTGATCAGGCAAGTGCCCATTCCACCAAGGGGCAGTGCTACCAGTTCCACTGTATTTCTAGCTGGACCTCAACTAAAGGGACCCAAAGCACACTTTGCCAATACAGAATATTAGGTAAGGATTCCCTGCAAAGTCACCAGCAGCTCCCAGAACCCAGTTATTTTGAGGGAAAGCAGACTCCATCTCTGAGCTCATGATTATTAAAACCAGACACTGATCTCTCAGCAGCCAGCACATTTTGAACTAAACATCTGGTCCCCGTAATATCTGAAGGGCATTTGTATCTCTTCAAGCAAGTATCTGTGTTTAGGAGCTGCAGCCAGTCACAAATTCTACAGACGTCTACACTCTGTCCTCCAGAGGTCAGGAACCTGTGCCCTTCCAAGTATTTGCTACAGCTCCCATTATCCCTGACTATTGGGCCAGGCTGACTCGGATGAATCAAACCCCTGTATTACATTTAAAACAAGTAGTCAGCCCACCATACAAACAGAGAGATCTGTCATTCATATGTAATGCAGCCCCAAGAGCAGCTCACAGGGAGGACATGCAAAAGGTTTGCTTTTGAGGAAAGTAAACATAACAGCAACATTATCTTCTCTGAAGGGCTAGAGTAGGTTGGGAGACAATTCCAGAACTTGAGCATAAACCTCCTTAGGACAGCTGAGAGGGCTGAACAAGTCTTCCACAGCAGAGTAAACGGAGAGTAAGATCTCTAGAGAAATACAGAGCCTAATACTAGACACTGCAAGTGCAGGGAAATGTGGCTTTCCTCTGCAGCCCAAAGGGTAAGAAGTGCATCATTTTAAAATGAATGATAAGATTGATCTTCCCATGAATTTAATGTGCCATTGGCAGAGCTCCTCCCTAGCTCATGTCCCCAGGAGCAGGTAAAATTCATGAGAGAAGTCACCAAACAGGTTTGTCAGCCAACCTTTAATCCAGATGCTGGGTTTTATTAAAGAAAAATCTATGGCCAGATTCACACAGGCCATCTCTTCAGCAGACAAAAGGCTAACTTGGTACAGGACTCTATTTACAAACACAGAGATAAAAACTGCAGGATGGAAAAATTACACCAGCCACGCCCACAAGGCTTCCCAGACACTGGCCAATGGAAGAGGAGCCCTAACGTCCCTGTGCTCCTATCTTACCAACTCAGGAAAGGGGACTTCATCTAGCTAGCTCCCTTGACACGGAAAGGGCACCAGGGCCTTGTCCAAGGGCAGGTCGGTAGTGGGTACAGCACCCAAACTGTCTTTAAAAAGGGTGGAGCCAGAAACACACCTGAAAGGGGAGGCCTCGCCACTTGGGAGAACCTGACTGACTCCTGGAACAGCATGGACAGAACAGGTTGATGACATGGTTGGACTTTCAAGTCGCTGGAAGAAAACAAGAGTACCAAAGTGGGAGCAACTGGCCAAAAAAGCTCATACCCTTCAAAACATCTTTGGAACAGGAATCCCAGCCACGTCCCTGAAGAGGCCCCTCTCAGAAAGCATAGCGGGTGCGGATGTCCTCTAGCTTCTTGGACACCTCTGGTGGGGTCCTGTCCAGCTCTTCAGACACGTTCTTCTGCTTGTTGGGCTCCATGGAGTTGAACTGCTCACACAGATCCCCATCAATGACATTCTAGCAAGAGAAAGAAAGGGCGGGGGGCTATTTTAGAAGCTGCAGCCCATGGAACAAAGGAGGGAATGGGCTCAAGCACAGAAAGCAGACCCAAAGCACACAGAACAAGAGGCCTTGTCTAAGAGGCCCAAAGGTTCTCCACAAAAGTCAGAATGAATAAAAGCAAATTCTCTCTTTAAAAAAGTACAGGTGTTCAGCAGACATTTGCCTAAAAGTGAAAAATGAAGGTGTCCACAAGTTCATGGAATGGGGTGGGGGGTGGGGGGACAAAAAACTAGCAAACTCCAGCAAAAAAACCTCAAGCTGTCTTGCTCAAGATCACCCCAGGGCTTGGCATGTGGTGAACTTGCAGGTTTAGAGCTACACTGATAATGTTGCAGTCTAGAAATGAAGACTTAACAGCGCTAATGCAAAAATAACCTGCTACATGACTCCTCATTGTCACAGAAGCATTTCTGGAAATGCAGATTCATATGGGGGGCCGGAAACCCAATTCTGACACCATGGACAGTGCTGCCCTATCCATGATGTACAGGTGACCCAAGAGAAACACATGGTTTCCCAAGAAAAAAGAAGACCCACCTTGATACCTAGGTTAGTTCTAACGGGATGCTACCATCACCAGGGAGAACTGCAATAGGGAATCGCAGGGAGGGGGCTTGAAATCTATACTTATCACTTAGAAAAGATAAATATCTATTCAGACAAACCACCAAGATGGTGAAAAAGAAAAAGTCAGAGAATCACGTAGACATATAGGCCCCACTGCTGATTACCCTTCTTAGCAAGCAGAATCCTGTCCTGGAAAAGCCATTCCAGCAACCTCAGCAGATGCTCTGACCAAAGCATAAAATGCAGGGGGAAATTTGGCCTTCACATTGGCAACTTTTACCCATGAACAGAGCTCAAGTGCTTACTAGCATATGATGGACACGTAGCAGAGACCCACAAACTCAGCCTACCTTCACTGGGAAGTAATAGGAGCGGAAGCTGAGGTGGTCTCGTCCACAGAGAGGAGGGTGTTCAGACCTCAGATGCATCTCAACGTGCTGGAAGAAGTCATGATCCTGAAAAGAGCAGAGAGCACCATCAAAGGTAAAGGAAAACAGCTGGAAGCAGCAGTGTCACGCCACACCCGGGGCCAGCATTGAAAAGAGGAGCGGCTGTGATTGGTACACTGGTTGACAACACGCCACCTGAACAAACCTCTTAGAGCAGGGGTAGGCAACCTAAGGCCCAGGGACAGGATGCGGACCAATCGTCTTCTCAATCTGGCCCGCAGACAGTCAGTGTATTTTTACATGAGTAGAATGTCTCCTTTTATTTAAAATTCACCTCTGGGTTATTTGTGGGGCCTGCCTGGTGTTTTTACATGAGTAGAATGTGTGCTTTTATTTAAAATGCATCTCTGGGTTATTTGTGGGGCATAGGAATTGGTTCAGGGTTTTTTTTTTCAAAATATAGTCCAGCTCACCACATGGTCTGAGGGACAGTGGACCGGCCCAGGGCTGAAAAAGGTTGCTAACCCCTGTCCTAGAGAGAGAGCCCTCTGCAGGCTGGCATTCATCATTTTGGGGAAGGATGTATTTACATAGCAGGAAGTTCATCACAAAGCACTGGTCCAATGTGGATTTCCCTCTTTGGAAACCTGCCTGGACTTCAGATATCACCTTATTTGTATCTGCCCAAGAAGGAGCCTGGCATATAGTTTAGAGGCTACAGCTAACAAACTAATGGGTCTATAACTGGCAGGATTTTTCTAATCACCCTTTTTGTATATTGGGGCAATTATACTCAGCTTCCACCCTTCCGGTATGCAACCTGAGCTGTTAATATATGAAAACTGTTTTGCAAAAATGGGTGACCAGAAATCCGGTCTTATCTTATAAATCTCCATTGGGATCATGTCTTCTCCTGGAGCTTTATTGGCTAGTTGGCTTACAATTAGCCTCTTAATCTGATTGGGCGTGATGTCTGGCCAGTCTGGCAGTTATAATAACTGAGTATAGTAAACTTGTGAGGGTGGGTCAGAGTGGGGGCCATATATTCTTGTAAAATATGTCACCCAGTCCTTTCCTTGGGCAGATGCTTCTAACGAGTAGCCCAGCCCATTTGTACTGTGGGCAACCAAATGCCCAAATTTCCATGAGTCCTTTTTAGCTCTGCTTCATTCTGTCATGCAATAAAATTTTGGTCATGCCTCATGGGCAAAGCCAACTGACAAATGTGGGTGTCACCTGTGTCAGCAACGGTTTTCAGGGTCCATTATATTGCCAGGTATCAGTGTATGCATTGGGGAGGGGGGAGACATACAGAGAGCAAAGAGAGCCATAGGCAGCTCAGGAGGTCCAACAGCAGCCAAGCTCAGTACGTGCATTAAAGCAGATCCATTTCTGATCCACACAAGGAAGAGCCAAGAGGCCAACTGTGGGCAGGGAGTAGCATAGCCTCCCCACCCTTTCAGCTTTGTCTTCCATCCTCCCATAACTCACTGTCGCTACTGCAGGGCATTAAGTGCTCCTGCTGCACTATGTAGATGAACAACTCTTAATATTTCCATCATACAAGAACTTCCTACCTCATGTGATGTAAACGGGACCAGAATGCCAATGCCCCCAGATAAGGTCGTGTAGACAAGAGATTCAGAGCCTCCGGGGATTAGAGTCGTCTTCTGCAGGGACAGGACTGTTTCCCCTACATGGTAGTTCATAATCACCTCTGCCTGAAAGTAAGACAAGCAAGACTTCAGCAAGTAAGACAAGCAAGACTAAGATAATGCATTAAATCCAGACAATCTCATTTTCATTAAAGAAAACCTACATTTATCACTTCCAGTGGTTGGTGAGGACATTTCTAAACACACATATAATGCAAACTTGCAACAGTGATTTCCTATGTGTAATGCTTGGGGAGGGAGGTGCTATTAGGCTACTGGAGTACACTGGACCCCTTCCATTATGAGCACAGTTTTTCATTAGGACAGTATTTCACATTTCTAAAATGCAGTGTCAATTAAATTATCCCCCCCTAAAACAGGAGGATTGTTGAAATATGTCTTAAAATTTACCTCCTGCTAGCTAAGTGTAAAAAATAAAATTGTGTAGGAGGGTTACCTCTCCTACAGTAACAGGGGTGCTATGAAACTCGGAAGGCATTTCAAGTATTTGCAAAAAAAAATTTAAGCAAACCTGAATCACTTCATACTCCCTACACAGTGGTACCTCGGGTTACATACACTTCAGGTTACAGACTCCGCTAACCCAGAAATATTACCTCGGGTTAAGAACTTTGCTTCAGGATGAGAACAGAAATCGTGCTCCGGCGGCGTGGCAGCAGCGGGAGGCCCCATTAGCTAAAGTGGTTCTTCAGGTTAAGAACAGACCTCCAGAACTAATTAAGTTCTTAACCCGAGGTACCACTGTACTGTTCAACAATTACATGGGGTCAGTTGTCCTGGGTTGTTTCTCCCCCATACTGTTTCAAGTTTCATTTAACTAACAGGGGTCCCAATGTTCCCCTATTGGAAAGGGAAACTGTCCCTCCTATCCCCAGGAACTTCTCAAAACAGAGTAGGGGGGAAATCACAAAGTTTTGCCTGTATCATGTTACAGCATTTCATGAACACAGAAGAGATTTTTCTGTGAACTTTTTAAAAATCCCCATTCCTTTGTGCATGAAAAACAACTATAAGCAACCCTAATTCCAAAGCTCCAAAGGCATCTGCTTGACCACAGGAGTACAATTTCACTCTATGCAGGGGTTTAACTCTGCTCCACACTGCATTTATGTAGATACAGAAGCCCTTTCAGGCTCCAACCGGCGGACAGTCTTGTTATTAATTCCATACGGATACTGGCTTCTAAAACCAATTCACCGTGACATGTTTTTTATCAGTAGATTTATGCATAGATTTATATATTTTTAAAAAGGAAGTTGCTGGTTCCAGAAAAAGGCAGGTAATGAAGTTAATAAATAACCAAAGAACAAGAAAGAGCCTCCAGTTTCTCATCTGAGGAAGCACCCCCTTCCCTACACCAAAGTTACCTTTTGAGAAGCCCCATTAAGAAGGCCTCTATCCCATAACGCCTTGTTTCCAGTTGGGTCCTCGTCTACCTCATCATTTGTGTTGGGTGGTAGCCGCACCTACAGGAGGAGGCATCAAGAGTGTCAAACTCACGTGTGGCCTTAATGGCAAACGGGAATAACTGGAAGGTGTTGTAAGCATGAATTCAGAAAAGCCCAAACAAACAAACACTCTGCATGTCACTTCAAACCACAGTGAGTGCCCCAACCTGGGTTCACAGCATGTTTCTCCCCCAACAAACCATGAGAGTTAGCCAAGGTTTGTTCTCAACTCATTGCCTGTGCTTGTTGGAAGCAAACAAACCAACAGGCTGATGTCTGAAAGTCACAACAAGCCGTTGCAGCCGCAGCAGGAGAGGAGCAGACCAAGAACTTTTCAGCAGCATGCGCCAACACAACCACATAAATCCGCAAGCTGTTTTTAGCTGTGGGGTGACTATGGTGTGTAATCCAAGCCACAAAAGGAGAGCAACCAAACATGTGTCTCCATTAACAGAACAGTCACAAGGTGTGCACTTTGGCAGAAGAGTGTCCAGAGGAAGTTGCCACCCCCCATGACAGAGTGTGGGAGAAAGGTCTCACAGGCCACCGGCTAAATGGTGCTTAGCAAAAGCAAAAGGCTGGGGTTTCACTGGCATCTCCCACATCAGGGAATCAAAAGGACAGCAGGACAGTTCTCAAATGAGCCCCAGGAGTTTCCTGGCTGCCTTCAGGCTGACTCACCACACAGATGTTGCCAAACTTGTCAGCCCCAGCCACTGTGTCATAGTCGAGGAGGCAGGCAGTGGTGACCCAGCGGGGGTGGGTGTCATCTGCAAAAATGATCAGCTGGTTCTCGTTCCTCTTGTAGCGCACCCAGATGAAGCTCTCCTGGACATCCGAGACGATCACTCGGTGCCCAATCGTCTGGATCCCACAGATGTAGTTGGCAATGTGCTGGGAAGCGACAGCAATTCAGAAAAGCAGTTCAAAAAGCAGAAAAGGGAGGCTGTTCAAGGCAAGCCCCAAAATCCCTTCCTGAGCCACTACGCAAATGAAATCTGAACATCACTGGCATCTCTCTGCAAGGCTATGATCATTTATAGTGCAACAGCTGTAGCTTTCTAAGAGAGAAAAGGAGAGTTGGGACATTGCTTATCTGTGATCACTTTCTATATCTGAATGTGCACTGAGAACCAGTGCTAACATCATTCTAGGTAGTTCTCCTGATTCTAGAAATACTCAGAAGGCCAAACAAACAAGGGAAAAGCAAAGCTGTGAAATATGAAAATGTTCCTATTTCTACTTTCTATAACCCAGAACCCGCCAGAACTACAAATCCCATCATCCTTGACCATTGGCCACGCTGACAATAGCTGATGAGAGTTGTAGTCCAAAACATTTGGAGGGTCCAGGCTGCTCTGTGCCCTTTTGTGCAGACTACACCATTATAAAGTTGGTGTCAGGAACGACTAAAAAAAAATCCAAAACTTTCAACTATCACCTAGTGTGAATCACAGGCCATGGCTTCATAAACACAAGACCACACCTTTGAGCCTCAGAGTCTCAATTCTATTCCCAAGGGAAAGAAAGGTACAGAGAGGGTAGAAACAGCCCTGAAGACTTGCCCCTTAAGCAATCTGAAGGAAGCCAAAGCTCTGGGCAAGAGAATGTTTCCCTGGAACTTGAAAAAAGTTCAAAGGTTTCAACCAAATTTGTTAAAAGTGATAGGGTATATCTGCATTAGGAAATGCAGCTTCCAGGAGATCTGCACACAAACACACACACACACACACACACACACACACACACACACACACAACGTTCTAAATACCTTATTCTCACACTTCCGGAGCAGCTTCTTCTTGCCCAAGTCATATACCCGCAAGAGTTTCCCCACACCAATGAGCACTCTGCCTTGGAAGGGGGCAATTGCGGCTGGTACCTCCTCTACTGGGGTCTGAACAGAAAGGAAATGAAAGAGAAGAAGCCTTTGTCAAGCAGACTAAACAAAGATCATTAATATTACCCCCACTGCATAGATGACGTCCCGCCACTGCAGGGATAGGCAAGTTTCAGTCCTGGCAAAGGATGCGGATCCACCACCACTGACTTTTGGGGCCCACTTGAATCAAGTACCCATTGCATCCACTGGGGAAGAGATGGACTTTGCAAGCCCACAAGGACAAACTGCCTCTAGGAAGGGGCCTCCTAGTCCAGTTCCTGCCCAACAAAAGAACCTGCCTCCACACAGGTCCAGGCTGCTAGGTATCAACAAGGAGGAAGAATTCAACTTTTGCAGTGCTCTGTACATTGTTGGCTTTCTCCATGTCAACAGAAGCCAAAGTATTCAGCAACCACCATCAGGTGCTGCAAAAGCTCAAGTCAGATCACCTATAAATGACCCATTCACAGGTCTATGCTTGTTTTGCTTCAAATGTCCATTAGATAACTGCAACTGTCACACCATGACTATAATTGCTCAAATTTCCCTGGCAGCAAGCAATGTGCATACATTTTGCATGGCAAACACAGGCAAAATCCAATGTGATTTTTGATATGGCTGCTGTTTTGTGCACAAAAGGAAAACCATTTGTGGAGTACTTACTAACAGTGATGGTCCTCTGTTCCCAACCAAGAGATTTCCGTCCCAAAAAGTCGGGTCTCATCAGTACATTTTAGCAACCTCTTGGCAAGCCCCGTCCATGTTCATCTTCCCAGATTCCTCCCTCTCCAACCCACTAGTGGAGGAAATTCTCACCTTGTGCAGGAACTCAAGCTTCTCCCCACTGTTTATCAACTTATAGGTGTAGACAAAGCCTCCAGCCACAGAGCGTGGGTTCAGGATGAGGTCCTTGGCTACGCCCACTAGAACATGCCAGTCGTCACCACCATTGGCAAATCGGCACACTGCCACACTGTAGAGAGCCAGAACGATAATGTTACTTGACAAGACAAAGGGAAGACTGGGAAGGCAAAAGAAGTAGTTGCTTCACAGCAACAAAGAGCAAGAGAGAACACTTTGGGGAAAGGCAGCAGCGAAGGGTATGTTGTACCATTTGCTTGTGGTAAGGCAGTATAGAAATGCAATATGCAAACTGAATGAGATTTAATTAGGGCCGCTGTCAGCTGAGAAGATCATGGTAAATGACTGCTATTGGCCCCAAGACCCCAAACAACTTCAGGTAGACCGCATTTTTGCTTTATTTAATTAGATTCTAGAGTCATCTGGCAACAATAGTATAAGTAAATATTTGGTTTGACTGGTGTACTTCAAGTATGACCAAAGTATGACCTGGTATAAAGAGTAATTTTCATTATTTAGCAGAAAGGACAGCATTCAAAATGGTAACTTGCTTCAGAGGCGCAGACACTGTTCCTTACCTGAAGGCAGCTTCATTTTGCTCCAGCTGGACTAGATCTAATGTGTTTCCTTGGATGGGGTTCATCACCCGGACAACAGACGCCCATTGTCCATTTCCTGCTTTTGGGGCACCAAAGATGGACTCAGGAAGGTTCTCGTTCAGAAACGCGGCCGCCATCTCTGCAGCTAGTTCCCTCTCATCTTCCCCTGCGGCTTCCACCATTTCCTGCAATGCACAAGGGGGCAAAAAAAGGACTGTAAGAGCTGCCTGCTGGTTCAGGCCAAAGACCTATCTCTACTGCAGCATCCTGTTCTCACAGTGGCCAAAGCAGATGCCTCTTGGAAGCAGGACCTAAATCATTCCCAACAACTGGCATTTAGAGGCATGCTGCTTTTGGCAATGGAGACAGAATATAGTCATCATGGTTAGTAGGCAACTGATAATCTGCTGCTCCATGAATTTGTTTAATGCTCTTTTAAAGCCATCCAAGTTGGTGGCCATCACTGCTTCTTGTGATTTTGATGGTTAGGCATTCCTAACTGAGGTGCAGAAAGCAAGTGAGCTTTTCCATGAGTTACAAAAGCAGACTAGCCTCCTCTCTAGAAAGGAAAGTGGTCACTGCTTTGCACAGTGTTGCGACAACTTCCCCACCAAGTACAGCAGCAGCAAAAGAAGCTCCAGCTCACAGAATCCTGTCCCTGCCCTTCTTTGGTGAGAGCTGGGCCCCAGGCAGAAGCCAGGCATGTTACCTCCGCCATCTGCTGCTTCCTTTGGGCTTTAGTGGCCTCAGTATAAGCATTGTGGTCCGTCTCAATGATGATTAGGTTGTTGCTCTCAGGGTGGATGACGAACTTCCTAGGAGTGTACTGCAACGGGAAGGCAACCTGGTTGAAGACAGCTCCAAGCTTCTCCAGGGCCAAAATCCTGTGGGAGCCAAAAAGTTGCAGACATTAAGCTTATCCCAGTGAGCCACCTTAAAGGAACTAAAAGGACATCCAAGCCAAACAATGGAGCCTCCCTGCTGGGCAAGCATCTGTGGCATGAACAGGCAACCCCCTTTAGTATTCAAGATCAGGAGAAACAGCTGCCTCCTGCCCCTGAAGAGAGATCAAGCAGACCTTCAACAAAACCAACATGGCTGCTATTTCAGAACCACCTGATGCTTTGTGAAAATGTAGCGCAGCCTTTGAAGTGAACACTCCACAGACTGGCTACCACCAAGGAATAATCTCCTCCCAACAACCAGGCATGTTTCAGGTGGGTTGCCGTGGGTGGGTGGCTGCCATGTACAGCTCTCCTTCCCATCTTGAGCAACTGGGAAGGAGGCCAGATCAAGCCACTCAACACAGAGTGGGTAAGCCACCTTACCCATGAAAGGTCATGTAGAAAGGAGGCATTCAGGGCAATCCTTTTGGGCACCAGCTGCCCCTGCTTTGCACAGGAAGGAGCTTGGGACAGACAAGCAAGACAGACAGATAGTCCTGTGTGCCAAGAGAGAAGGCAAACAGGTTCCATTATTTGTTTCCTTTCCCACTGCTGGCATTTTGATACGAACCTCAGTGTGTTTGTTGAGATGGCTACTATGCCCTCTGGACACTGCTCTGAAGCAAAGCCAGAGGCAAACTCCAACGTTTCATATGAGAGGGGTGTTAAGTGGAAGCGGGATTGATAGGAGTAACTCAGCCAAGAACGGCTTGACATGGCCAGCACCTGGAGCAGGAGGAAAAGAAGAGAGAGAAAACTCAGGGAGAGAACAGCAAATGGGACAGAGCAGCTCACACCTCTGGGAACCAAGCTGGCTGCCTTCTCCTACTAGCAGCCCACAATCAAAGGCTCTGTTGGCAGAGCAGAACTAATTACAGGCTCTAGGAGTCCCCAAGCCAGCAGCATAAGAGAAGTTGTGAGGGGGCCAAACTGAGATTCCTGCATTGCATGGTGTTGGACTAGATGACCCACAGGGTCCCTTCCAGCTCTACAATAATATGATCCTGAAGGCCACAAGCCTGGCTACTTTATCACCAACTTTCAAAAGCACCTTGCACTCTGTAAATCAGGTGCAATGACTACAGCAGCAAGAGCCAGGCAAACAAAGGACATTGAGTACTTCCTCCTCCTTTAATGCCCCCCTCCCTTTCCCACAAGCAGCTAAAATGAGCAGGATCCAGAAGAAGGCCAAGATATTTCCTTTCCCCTGGCCTCATCAACACTCTTGTTTTCTCCCTCACTCACACCCCCATCCAGTAGCATGTATTTTCCCTCTGTACCAGACGGTAAACAAGGAATTTAGTTGTGAACTCATCCCACCCGAATTTTCTAAAAGATCTTAGTCACCAGATTCACAGTCCTCCTGAAGTTTTTGCTCCTCCCCCTCCAGCTTTTCATGAGTGCACTCCTCTGATTCCCCGCTCACTCACCGCTTCTTGGCCTTGCATCCGGACTCGGAAGAGCTTCACAGGGCGCGAGCCCAGATACCTGGTCCTTGTGTCAGAGAGGTCACCAGTAACTGGATCAAGGACAGTTCGGAGAAGCACACCGTTCTGGGTTACAAGGGCAGATGAGCAAAGCAAGGTGGGGGGAGAGGGACAAGGGCAGGCAGAGAGAAAAAGAGCACCAGATTAACTAGGAATACCAGTGTATCTTTAGCTCCTGACTTCGGAAGTCTTACTATTTCCAGGTTCTCTCTGGCATGTACAAAATTAAGCACAACACTGCTACAAAGCTGCTGTTTCCTCCTTTAACAAACTAAGAAAAGGCTTTTTTGTGAAACAGCTTAAAGTATAGGCAATCCCATTTCCCACCTAAATACAAAGACCCCTGACCCGCTGGAAGATGAGCTTTAACACTTCCATCCTCCTCCCTGACAGACAGAAGGTATCCTTCACAATGGGATTAGAGTCTGCCTTAATCAAGCGGGAGAGGGCTCTGTTCCTCAGGAGCTCTGGAAGAGTGAAGAAGGTGGCAGGAGGGATGCAGTGTTCCCTTCTGGCAGGCCTTCTGGGAGGGTGTGTGGAACGCGTCTCTATACAGTTGTACAAACTCAAGAGCATGGCTTCCCACACAGTCCAGTCAAATGCAGCAAGACCTGGTCCAATCAAGGATCTAGCAAAGGTCCTGGGCGGTAACTGCTCACCTGCAAGCCAATGTTCAGGTACAAGAAGCCAATCGAGCCCCGCTCTCCCAGTTCATCCTGCTTCTCAGCGCCACCCATTTCCACAATGCACAGTGATTCTGGCTGGGCAGGGAGAGCTTGCATACTCAGTGGCTGAAGACAGTCCTAAGGGATGGAGAAGGAAGACACCATTACTAAAGCATAAACAAAGAGCAAAGCATAACATATAAGGTCTTTGTTGCTACCCTGAACCATTTCAGACATCAGATGAGGAACTGTAAATGGCTGGATTCTCCTTTGTATAAAAATGCCTGGCACATTTGAAGGAGAAGACTAGGCTGACCTGCCAATTTTCTATGTAGGAGGGCATTCAACCACATCCCCCAGCAGTCTGAAGAGATAGACTGAAGAAGCACATGGCAATGTTGATTATGCCAACCAGCTCAAAATGTTTCTCCATTTGGGGCAATCTGTGGGAAGATTCATTTCATCTGAGGAAGTCTTTAAATAATAATTTTTAGCTCTGGCCTTCTTTCAGGCAACCCAGCATCTTCCAAAAGTTTGGAATACAACTCCCATAATCCTCAGCCAAACTGGCTAGGGCTGGGGTGAGTTGTAATTCAAACCATCTGAAAAGTCACCAGGTTGGAGAAAGCTCGTGTACACCTTAATTATTGTGAATTGACCTATTATATGGCCACTGAAGCATGACCAGAGGTTTGATGCTCCTTACTGGCATCAAGTCCTTTGGAATGCCTGAACCTTCAAATTAAGAGGCAGGGGTATCAAAAAAAGAAGGGGAGGGGAGAGAAAGCAACTGCAGTTTGGGTTGGGAAAAGAGCATGCTAGAGTTCAGCTGGAGTCAGCTAAAACTGGAAGACATATTGGGGTACTTGAGGAGTAAGCCCTCCCTTTGGGGTTTCTGACGAAGCACCAGCAGTTGTGTTGCCCACTTTATGAGTCTGCTTGCTTGCAATATGCTCTCCTTTCATATTAGATAACAAACCAAAGTCTAGTGCATTCTCACATCCAAAGAAAGGAAAGCCCTGCTAACTACCCCTGGAACTTCCTCTCACTCAGGTTTTTTTTTTGGGGGGGGTAGTTTTGGTTAAAATACTTTAATTCGGGTCAGCAAAGGCTTAGCTACAGGCAAGCGACTCTCAGGAAGCACTTACAGAGGGGTCGAGGGAAATGATGCGCACAGTGTTGTCCACCAGCCCAACAGCAAGGAACCGGGAGCGCTGCTCTCCTGGGGGAACATTGGCCAAGCTCATGCACACCACGTCAGCAGACATCTCCTTCCTCTCTGTGTATTCATTCAGCTGCCTGACTGGTGTGGAAAAAAGGCACAATGGAGGAAGGAAGTCACACCTGGATTAGCAGAACCAGACGCATTTCAGATCAAGAGCTGTGCAGTAAATTCTTTAAACCATGTATGATGACAGGTGACCTTGCTTGTTTGACCTTTTGAGATAGGAAGCCTGGAGCACTTTGAAGAACACCAAGTTTATCAGACATAAGCTGGTCTTAAAAAATATGCCAGTCTCTGCAATGGCCCACCAAAGCAACCCCCAAACACCCACCCCACCCAAATGGCACAAATCACCTGAATGTTATTCTGCACAAGAACCCCTGAAATGAAGGAAAGCGACATAAGGAGCCCAATAATGCTGTGATGCAGTTCTCATTTGTTTCCACTGCAAGCCTAGTCTGCAAACCCTCATGAAAGTCACATCTCCCTCCAGCTAAGCTCACGTACCGGGTCCATCTCAAAGTAGACCAGCTCTCCCCCTGTCAGTGCGATCACCACTTGTCTCTGATTCACAGCACATTTGACGATGGTTTTCTTCCCTGGTGTTTTCCACTCATTAACTCTTTTATCGGCTCTGATGTGCCGGATGCCATCAGGATAAACCTAAACAAATACAGAAATAAGATGCTGTGTCAGTCCATCTGACAGGAACTGCCTTTGCTGTTCTTTCCATTATTAGGCTAGCCTTGCAAGTCAGTTCACAGAAGTTATCAGCCTAGCCTTTTTAAATTTTTTCCTAAACTGCTTGCTCACATACAGTTTTTTACTGTCATTTGGACACACCAGAGGTCAACAAGGAAAGCAGAAGAACCAGCACCTCTTATCTGGTTTACAAAAGCTTACTCAGACTGCTCATCTGTAACCCATTTGCCACAAGTACGTGGCAAGATTTCCATGACTACCTATACAGCTTTTTAGTTTGCAAAGTGATCTATAATCTTTATCTCATTCACACAACTAATTTCTGCTGTTCACCATCAAGTGCTCTCATTCTATCTAGCTGAGAGAGGGCAAGGTCAACAAACAGCAACTTGAAAAGTGCCACCAAGGTAAAAGATCAAGATTCCACAAGCTCCCATCTACCTTTAAAAACAAAACAAAAATCACAGGGAATATTAGTCTATGCAACCAGTTAAAATAATGCAGTAGAAGACTAAACGTTTTTTAGTAAGAGCGGAACACCAAGGGAATCTTACTTTGAAAGGCTCTTGAAACAACCCTTTCCCAACCTTAAAGGTGACCTTATTCCTCTAGCCAGTTTGCAGTCACAACTATTAAATTAGCTACCACCACCCCATCCATGCCAGGAGAGCACCACAACCAAACCCTCTCTCCTTGCATCTCTTGAGAAGGCCAACGGGCCTGGCTGCAAAAGGCAAGCAGAACACAAAGAGGTAAAAGGCCCCTTACCTGCACCAAAGCATCATCTCCCAACAATGAGCAAGACAAGGTGGGCGTAGTACCAAGGAATCCCGAGTCTGTAACCTCCTCTACAGTTTCTCCGATAGACAGTACCAGGGTGGCATTGACGAAGGACACAATGATATAGGCATCAAATTCATCTAATTACAGAAGAAAGAAGACGGGTGCCAATATTTAGAAGGTCAAGAAAGAGGTTTGTAGAACAAATATGGACAACAGGAACTCTTCACAAAGGCTACTACAGTTATTTCCATCTTCACCATCACACACAAGTTCATGACAAGGGGGCAGCATGGCCTTCAGACACTTCGACTGTGGTAAAAGGAGAAGAATACTCAAGGCACAAGGAAGCTACAGCAAGAAGTGTGGACCTTCTTTGAGAGCCTCCCCCCCCCCCATTTATATCATAATTACATCTGGGTCAGAATACAACTGGAGTGAAAACGGTTTCTTGTTCTCCTCCTAACCACAAGAAAATGATCAGACAAGACGTTTATGCCTGCAGTCAACAGAACAGTTTATTCTCATTTGCTCTCTCTAAATCACACACATAAACAGTGTATCTGTCAAACAAAAATTGTGATGTAGATCAAAATAAATCCCACAGGTTAATAAAAATACACCAACCCAGACAATGTAACTTAACTAAAACATATGAGATGCAGCTAATTTAGTTCTTTTGAAAAAAAATGATGGGAGTTGGCAGGAGGGATAATAAAACACTATTACGAAAACAATGAACTAATGAAGCAGATGGAAGCTCAGAGAACAAATGGTTAGCAACCTCTCACAGATTTTAGATCTTTCCACCAGAAGTTAATAGTAAGAATCCACACACCTTCTTTCCACATTCCAGAAAGGAAAAAACCCAGAATGCCACTGAACTATTAAGCGCCAGATTGAGGAATCTGAGTCAGAGCAGGCTTTTGCAGAGCTAGAGAAACTTCTATGGCTTCACAGGTATAAATTGCATTGAACCATCAAAATGCAAGATTAGAAGCCACTAGAAAGAGATATGCCCATGGTGGCAAGATCCCCACTTCTGCATCAAGATGCTCTTCTCTTTGCATCTTCCCGCAATGGAGCCCTACAGGAGCTCCAGGTCAAGCAGTTGTCCTCCCTAGAGTTCAGGCTTCCACAATAGATGCTAAGTAGCAAGTCCGGTTTAGTTACCAGCAAAAAGACCAATGGGATTTCTTGTTCAAGGGGCAGAAAGGAAAGAATTTGGCTGCAGTTTTATGGAAATGAATGGGGGCAAAAGGGAAGAATTAAACAGCAATACTGCCAAGGATGGAGATACCAGGGGGGCAACATGGATTCAACTGAAGTAATTAAAAAAAAGTGGGGCTGAAGAAGAGACTGTAATGTTAACTAACATAGTGTCCACTCAGCTTGGTAATGGGTACATGAACACTTTCCAGTTGTCTTCCATCCATAGAAACAAAATAGCTTATTCACACATATTAAATATAGTGCCAGAGATTACACAGGATTTAGACAATGCATAGATATATTAATATGAACTGTAATTGGCTGTAAGTCGCTTTGGGTTGCCTTGGGAAGTATAAAGTGACTAACAAATTTAATAATAAACAAATAAATATGTAACATTTTAACAGACACTTCACTGTTCAATTTCCTCACATTCACTCTGCCAATGAAACGATTTAGAAATTACCACTATAGCAGAAAACATTTCCCCTGCTGGTGCAATCCCCAGTAGCGCTGCAAATACCCCCCAAAAGAAAGCCCTGCAGGGACACGGCCAGTTAGGGTAGAGAATACTGAGCCGACTTCCGGAACGCCGCAGCCACGGGAAGGAGTGCGAGCCTGCCCTTCGGGGGAGTCTCGAGCAACACAGAGGTCTAGAGGGGTCACGAAGGCTCCGTGAACCTCGTAACTCCAGGAGGATTATCCTGAAGGTCAAGGTACCCAGCGACGCTGTTTAAGCTCCCCTGTATTGTCAGCGTTTAGCAGGGTTTGAGCTGCAGCACGAAGGGGATGTAACAGACTCTGCGTTGTGAAGCCTCAGGCTCCGTGTGAAAGCGGTGAGCCTCCGACAACAGTCATAAAACTGGGAAAAAACAAACCAACTAAGCTGATAGAAAGATTAACTGAAGAACCCAGCGTAAAAGGAATATAAGAGGTAAAAGGCGAAGGAATCCACTTCCGGCGGTAAGAGAAAATGGAGTACAACGTAAGGCTGGGAGAGAGGGAAAAATTTAAAAAAAGCTGCCGCTAAGTGGTTGTAGAAGAGAGACCTCAGATACAAAGTATAAGGACTCTGAGGCAAAGTAACAAATGAAAATATCTTAAGGGACTAGAAAGAAGTGAAAGGAACTTTTCTGTTCAACTTGGCGAGATAGCAGCGTTTACGACCGGGAGGAGATTGCAGGGGCGGTTTCTTGGCAATTAACCCCTTTGCATGCCGTCTGTGAACATGGTCTGAGTCAAGCAGCATACGCTTAGAGATTTTTATTATTTACACCTCTTTGTCACTCACACCTCTCATATTGGAACAAAGGATAGAAACTGCTATTTTACTCGGGCCAGTTAAAAGAGTGAAAAACAGACCAGCAGCAGGAGGAGGGAAGACGCGGAGAGGCAGCGCCCTTCCAGTGACGTTTGGAAAGAAAAAGAGATTTATTTGTTTGGAGAAAGCAGCGAGCTTCCGTACTAACACCTCATTTCTTGTTCTTCTCCCCGACATAAAGAGTTATAACCTAATATTTTGGCTGAAGAAGAGGAGGTTTACTTTCTAGATTAATTCACTGCTACAGCGGAAAGAGACTGAGAACTTTTGGAAAGGTGAAAGTGCAATCAGGACGGTGGGTCAGGACTTTTTGCTATATATAAAAGCTTCTCCCCTCAGGAGACGTCCTAATTTGGTCCTGCCCCACACCCATATGCCTGCTTATGGATTAAGACCCACCCCACACTCTGTTTAAGTTCCAGGGGACTATTGGTCACTGGGATTCAAGCCAATGGTCCCAGCAACTTTGGCAGTTATTTTTGTGTCTCTTATATAGCCTTTCTATGAACTTTGCAAGTTCCTTTTTTTTTTTTTTTTGCTCTGTGCCACTTGTTGATATTTTGGTCACCCTCTTCCTCTCCCCATAGTTTGATTACCTTCTTTATCTTGATCGCTTTCCCCTATCCTCCCAATAGGTTTCTTTTTTTTTCTTTCCTCTGGTACGGTACCTCCTTATTCTTAGCCCCCCCATGGCGGATGACCAGTAACTTATGAGAACAGTTGTTGTGTGGCGCGGGGAGAGAGACAGCTGGCCGTGAGACCCTACGGAAGATAATAGATCTAGGACTTGGAAAGTCTATAAGGCACCACCGTGTGAGAGCGGAGGGGACTACATCGGAAGGAATCTACGGGAAGAACAGAGAAAGCCAGCAGGGGTTTTCAGTGACTGCCAGGGGAGGGAGAGTTTTTCAATATGAAAAAGGGGGTGGGAACACCATCAGAAAGGAGGCCATCTAGACAAGAAGATGGGAAGGAGGGGAGGGAAATCAAGGACTATGACAGCTTAATGGTTGAGATAAGGAAGGAATTTAAGCATAATGAGCAATATATTGAAAGAAAACTACTGGAAGTACAAGATACGTTGGACAAAAGATTGGAGGGGGTGGTGGGAGAATTAACGGGAAAAGTTAAAGATCTATCGGTAAGAGCCAAGGTGCTTGAGGACTCAATGAAAAGGGTGCAAAAAGACACGAAGGATAATAAGAGGGACTTGGACAGGATTAAAGTAGAAGTTAAGGAGATAGGTAAAGTACAGGAAGAATTGTTGGATAGTATGGCAATGACCCAGATGAGACAGAATTCAGCAAACTTGAAATTTAGAGGGATCTCAGAGGAGACAAATGAGAACATAAGACTTAAAATGGTGAAAGAGCTGGCAATCTGGTTAGATAGAAAGGAAGAAGAGATAAGCTACTCGTTGGCAAATATTTTTCGGATAAAAACAAAATCAGCTAAAGCCAGGGGAAAAAGACTGCCAGGGGATGTATTAGTTATGTTCAATTCGATGGATATGAGAAACGAAATACTGAAACAGAATTATAACAAAAGGTTATATATTGGAGGAAATCCAATTATCATATACAAAGAGATTCCTTCGAGATTTCTTCGAAGGAGGGATGCCTACAAAAAATTAACTAACCAACTGAAGAAAAATGGGATCCTATATAGATGGGAATTTCCGGAAGGAATTTCATTCTATTTTAAGGAAAAAAGATTCAAACTGTCCAACCCTTCAGAATTAGAAAAATTTGCAAGAAGATATGAGAAAGAACTCGGAAAGATGGTGGGGGAGGAGGAGGAGGGTGAACGATCGGGGAGCGGGGACAGAGGCGGAGAGAGTGGAGAAGGAGAGAGAGAGACAAATTCAGGAGAAGAGAGGGAAGGAGAAGAGATAGACGATAAAAAACAGTAGATTTAATCTAGACTTGTTATCTTATTATTTGCATACAAGTGATGGCTCTAAAAGTTCTGACCTGGAACGTGAACGGACTCAACAATAAAAATAAAAGGAACCAGATTGCGCATATTTTACTAAAAAAGAACCTCGACTTAATCTGCCTACAAGAGACTCACGTAATAAGAAAGCATAAGAGAATTTTAAGCAATAAGAGATTAGGATTGGATTTTGTGGCTTCAGATAGAGTTAAGAAACGAGGAGTGGTTCTATATATAAAGGAAAAACTTGATCCAAAATTACTGTATAAAGATGAACAAGGGAGAATGATTGTAGTACAGATTATGTTTCAAGGAGTAAAGATTATTGTCGTCGGACTATACGCACCTAATGACAGAAAAGCAGTCTTTTTCTCTGAATTAGGTAGTAAGTTAACAGAGTGGATGGATCAAAAAATGATAGTGATGGGTGACTTTAATGGGGTGGTGTCACCAAACCTGGATAGATCAACAAGAAAACAAGAGATTAAGGAAGGCAAGTTACCGCGGACTTTTTTTGATTTGGTTGACAATATGGGATTAATTGATGCGTGGAGATTCAAAAACCCTACTGTAAAACAATATACTTTCTTCTCAAATCCTAACCAGAGTTGGGGGAGAATAGATGGTATTTGGATCACTAAGGAATTGATACAGAACTTAATCAAATCTGAA